TTAGAACGTGGGCTTCTTGTAGGAGTAAAGTTACCCCGAAATCCTTTAAAATATTGATTTGTTATCCATTTTGGATTTAGTTTTATTTTACCCTTTCAAATTTGGTCACAAAAACGAATTGAGAGTTTCAAAAAAACTTTTTCGAGGAATTGAATGTAATTAAGTAGGCGTTGATGCGTATAAAATCTTTACATATCACGTTTAAATATAAATATTTTGTGTTGTTTTTTGCAAAAACGTTACATGAATGCATGCCACCCAAAATGCGGCTATTGTACGTAGGCATTTAGATATTTTAGCATATTTTATCGATGATTTTTAATGTCCAAAGGCAAATCCATAGTTTTTTTTTATATAATATACTTTGACAATAGACTTCTTGATGTCGGTCTGTTTGAATTTGGGATGTGTCCATTGTATACACTTCTATGCAACTTATCGTATCCCGTAGCGCTCAATAGGGACTCAGGACTGGAGGCTTTTGGACTGGAATTCTTGCAATTTCGGCTAATTTTACCCTATCCTGAGACTTGCTTTTTTGCTCTATTATGTGTAAATTCGGCATGTTTGAATGAATACGACAATAGTTACTCCTACTTAAATATAACAACGTGAAGGATTTTTGTCGTATTATTACTTTAAAACGATTATCAAGCGCTCTTGTAGAGTATCCAGGAAGTCGTTCGGATTAGTGTTGGCATTATTTAGTGCACCACATTAATTTATCATGGTAATATACAGCGTGAGTTCCAAAGTTAACTGCACATCCTAGAGCGGATACACACTCAAAATTCATCCATATATTGTAGTTACAGGATGCGAACATAACTGTGTTGGCAACAGTACGAGTAGAATTTATTCAGAACATTCCGACTCATGAATTTTTTCCTCGTAAAATATCCGCGCAAGGTTGACAATGATACAAGAAAGGAGATGCCTTCCACGAACTCGTTTCAGTAAAGGTAATGAGTAAGATAAGGTCATAATATATCTGTCACTCGCAGACTACGGCCCGCGTAATGGGGCAGATGGAACAGTGCCATACTTGCTGCCACTTTCTTGTGATTTTAGTTTGCCTTTATTTAGTGGTAATGTTAAGTATTGTGTTGGACAATGAAGAGACCGATAACTAAGACTATTTTGGCAGATTGTAGCTCAAATAAAAATCCTTTAAAGTAGTGTACATACATCAAAGGTGGTTAGAAATAAGATACGAAGGTATGACGATTATTGGTTGGTTAGAATAGCTCAAAGAGCGGGATGTTAGGTAATGTGCTGCGCCTTTGACACGATCGTTAACTCGAGTCCTCTACAAGCACTTACTTTGAAACGACTAGTAAATTCCTCACAACCACAAACACACGCTATCGTGAAATTGTACAATAAAATATAGAACCACGTTGCAGCATTAATAGAATGAGGGGTTTTAAGAAATCGGATTGTTTGTGTCTATCTTATTTCTCAGAAGTTACTGTCCAAAAAATAAAACAATGTGAAACGGACTGAATTCGTTGATACCTATATGTGTATGTTTTGAGAAACGCTGTTTTTGTTAGGGAAATTCAATATAACGCGGTTTCAGTGAACCGGTTTAGTATTCCGTTTGTATTTCAAAGAAAAAATCGATGTTATTTTTGCTATGATATATAACCTATGATAGGATTATTACTTTAAATGTCTTTATCTGTTTCCTAGTGAAATCTTATATTTATCTTCGTATAGGGGTCCGGGTCCGTATGTCTTTAATAAATATGCATTAAGTATTTACACACATAAACACACACATGAATACAAATATATAAACTATACACCTTCGAAACTTTACTATAAAACATACCAATATACTGGTTCTAATTAAAAATTCGTTTATCGTTTTGGAAGTGAAAACTTCTTTAGGCGCGTTGGGCATTTTTAAACAACAAACAAAATAATGTATTTTTTTGAGATGGAAAAAAACCATTGAACCCGCGACACTATGTAAGTACGGACACCTCTGTATATAAGTATCTACATAATATTGGCCCCGTTTACAAGAGAGTTGAGTTTGGTTTGAAATACATTGAAAATATAACTATATATAATATTAACATATATTATATACGTACAATATGTATAGATATATATTCATGTCGGCACTTTTCGAGTAAAACAAAAAAAAACCTGTTATGATAAAAAAATAAATTTCAAGTTTTCACTACTGTCCGCAGTGCCACTGTTTTTTTTTGGTTTTTCTTCTGTTAACTTCTAACCTAATGATTATGCAATTCTTAAAACTTGCCTATAATTTATCATATAAATTATTGTACGCTTGTTTTTCTCGCTCGTCGTTAAAAATATCTCATTTGTTATCTGGTGGAGAGAATTACATTTAATTGTCTGCCATTGACCTTTACTTGGTACTATTGACAAATGTTTATTTAATAGTTTTCTTGGAAAGGCAATCAGTGTACAGCTGACTTCTCGCTTATCGACAAAATAGCGAATTCAATAATACATTTTTCATCTACTCGGGTTAGCTCCTCGAGTTTAAGAAAACAAGGTAGTGTCATATGATTATGAAAATAATCACTACGTCATTCGTAGATATTATTTTGAAGCAAAACTCGAATACGTGTTTTTTAGTTTAGGGTAAATATGGCTACACAAATTGCAACACTAAATCAGAGTTTGACAGATGCCATATACGTTGGCAGGCCATTTTTTATGGCAAATCTTCTTTCTCTATTTTCATGTTCAGCGTTCCAGATGATGAGATAAAACCAAACCAGATTAAACTCAACCCTCTTTGAATCTCCCGTACCGACTGTCGTCCTGAACAATACTTTTTTTATCTGTGACACGTACTCAGTGACTTTTTAATTCTTGCAGAAACAAAACGAACTCCACTGCTTAAAAATGTTATTGTTGTATAATATGATAGAAGGTACAATTATAGATGTCATGCTGATGAAAATACCATAGAATAAATTATCATCAATTTGTTATGATTATAAATCGCATTGTCTTCTTGGTCTTTTAGATTGATAGTTTTAACGAATTTTGTTATAGCAATAAATAATTCAATTTATTGAAACTCAGCCAGCTCTGGCCAGCGTGGTATAGTAGGCCAAAACCTCCTTTCTAAAAATAGGCTATGCCCAGCAGTGGACTATTAAAGGCTGTTGATGATGATTGAAACTCAAATGTCGCTGAAATATGTGAAACTAATCCCAGAATTTAACAATTGGGGAACCACGCTTCGGCACATATGGGCCGGAGAAGTATCACCATAGAGCTAATATATAGATAGAGGAGAAAATCGAGCCACGATCCTTGGACGATAGTAGAAAGACAGAGAATACGGCGATTTACATGCGTGTTACTCGCACCTCTTCGACCCAAGTGCAAGTTTATTTCATATTACTCGATTATCACGGTGACCGCGTTCGGCGCTGCGATTGGCCCGCACTGAAATCTGCACCAATCGCAACGCCAGTGTAACAATTGTTTCGTTGTTTTCCACTGAGTAATAGACTATTACTTACCATCCAGAAAACAAGTAAATATTTATAACTTACTTGTGATTCTTTACTTATACTTGTTCATTGAACATAGGATCTATTTCTAAGTGACTTTGTGAGTGAAGAAGAAGGTTAATTAGTCATTTATAAAGTGTAATTGTAACATGTTCTATATTGTTTGGTGTTTGCCAATGTCCTGTGAACAGAGGTTATTGGCATCAACGCAGAACGCGCCCACTGACGTCGCCCCTCTAACAATTGTCCAAATTGTACTCGATACGATGAACTGTCATCACAGTCATCATGACTCTCGGTCTAAGTCTTAATAGCGAGAACTAGCTATGCTCCGCAGTATCCCTCTCATTTCGCGAACTTTTTATGGTTGATTTCATTCTTGGCACCTGAAATTCTAAGATTAGAGCACTGACAGTCAAACTTTTAAATTATTCACCTTTCTAAGATAACCTAGTGCAGGTAGCTAATTGAAGCCACTAATTACTATTAATTGAAGAAATCTTGAGCGTTGACACAAAAAAATGACCTAGAACTTAGTGTAGTTTCTTATGCCAATAGTGAATCACGACTTGAATGAATGATTAATGCAATAAAAAGGTATTACTTTAAGCTTGGACTGCGGTACATTGGTATTTCCCAACTACGTTTATTTGGTCCTATTGTTCAGTCAACTTTGTTGCCCCGAACGACGGTCGATCACTAAAATGAAAAAAAAAACATCGCTTAAGGTAAACTTTATTAAATTTATAACAGGAACCGATTAAAAAGACAGACAAATGCGCCCACTTTACCGAATTTCGCACCCAAACAGCACTATTTTTAAGTGTATATTCGTGTTAATATATTGAACAGACCTTGATGTGGGGATCGATACTAGATATTTGACCATGGGTCCCACACACCTACCTGGCGGAGGGTCTGTATTCCCTCCCCCCCCCCCCCCTTCCCACCTGTTCGTAGAACTTGCGTCGTTTTAGCTTTTGAATCAGCTTCATCTCAGGCGGCATATAACTTTATCTGCGGTTGCCATTATAGTTACCGCTTTCTACCAGTAGGACCCTATGCTTGTTTAGCTCTTAAACTATCCTTTCTCCTTTTTTCTTGTAGTTACTTAAGAATGTCATTATAATACTATCATAGTTCATAGAATTAAACTATAGAAGGTGCTGTATAAAATGTAATGAAGTATTACAGAATTAGTGTAGAAAAGAAAATTACTACTGAATTAGGTTTTAATTACTCGGTAATTCATTGATTTTATTAAAAAACGAGGGCTTTTACCTTAGTAGTCAACTAAGCATGACATATGTTATGTGTCAAAAGTGGCATAAGTATGTCAAAAGTAAGACCAAGTCATTAATTACCTGGACAAAATCTTTATACACCTCGCTGACATGTGTACCTACGTGCTTATCTTGATTACAGTTGACATTCCAATTACTTTTACCTAACATAATTACTGCAATGAAGTATGTTTGTCCCCAGGGCGCTAAAACACCGAGTGGCGGTGACTTGATGGCTGACCTCCACGCGAAGCTGTCTATGCGACGTCGAGGGATCTCTGGAGCGGAACGTCATGGAGGCTCCGTCCTTCACACTCTCGCCAGCGTTATCCCCGAGCCTGATCTCTCTACACCTCCGAGGTCTTTAAGTGACGACGATTGGGATTAAACAGGAACGACTAGAATCGGAGCTGCATTAAAATAATTTAATATAATTGGGACATACATATACAAACACGTGATTTTCCCCCTGGGCTCAATTAACCAGGCGACTAATAACTTGAGATAATTTTCCTGGTACCATTTGTACGTTCTAAGTAAAAACACATTAATTTATTCTCCGAAAACTTGTTATCGATTGTTGCTTGTATAATAGGTATATTTATGATCATTCCGTATTAGGTTTTTATGTAAGTCTAATCTTCATACCTTCTCGGAATCACGGTACATATAATTTCGAATCGATTAATGTATGTCTTTATCTCGCCCGCTTCCGAATACTTAGAACGAACTAATTCCTCGTCCTCGGCCCTAATGAAACGTTTTTGTTCTACGTAGCGAGCGGGCGGGTGGGTGCAACAAAAACTGACGGGCTAATTTACATGTACATACGTACTAATCAAATTGGTTTAGTGTACATGTTCTCGTATTCTCTCTGTTACATCACACTCTTGCGGCTTCCGATGTAGTTGTATGCTGTTTTCCTTAACGAGGTAGTTGTGTTTGTTATGCTAATTAAATAACAAATAAAGTTTGAGATTACTGGATGTTATCCTTCTATTATAATGGGCGTCGTTTAAATATAACTACGCTCAATTGTTATTGCTTTGAAATGGCGGTTAAATATTCGGCATATCGGAACATCTGGATATGCCGACACAATGCTAGGAATGTTGTACAACGTCATCTAAGCGTACCTTGACCTATCACTGCGATCAGTGACGTAACAAGGTTAGTCTACTTACATGTTAGAGTAACAGTGTTTTTTATTCTTCGAGTTTAGTATTAGTAACTAAAATTAGACTTCTAATAAGTAAATGTTTTCATTGTTAAAGATATTATATATTTTAAAAAGTAAATATTGGCTATTATATGTATTTTATAAGTCTATTAACATGACCTATTTGTACTGTATGAAACATAGTCGGACCAGATTATATTAGGACCTGCGCCATTTTGACGGACGGTAGTATTCCATGAAGTTTTTAATAGTCTAGTTCTATTTACAAACAGAGATTGGAAAAGGGCCCTCTCATTCTGGGAGGTTATTACGATAATCGTATTTCTCACTAGTGACTATCTCGCTTTCGTTTCTAGGAAGGTGGCTCGGCCACATTAACACTGTTCCCCGCAAACTATCAACTGGTCCGCTCGATTAGCATTTCCAGAATTGAGGAAAGCTACAGCTCCTCAGCGGAGCGCCTTTCAATATGGTGTTGTTCACGCGTGACAAATAACTATATATAGATATATTTTATCAAATTAGATCTGAAGAGAGGTGTATTCTGAGAGTAGGAAATTTGTAAGTTTTATATATTGACTTTAGTTCTAAAATTAACATCTAACAAGCGGTGTAAGTAGCAAGGAATCTAGGTTGTTAAGCGCGCGATGATCGTGCCTACTAGCGACAGGTGCTGAATATATAACGATATAGAGAAAACATTTGTTTATTTTATATATTGGTAGACAGTATAAATAAAGAGTACATCCCAAAAGTGAGGCAAAGACTTATTATGAATAGTGGCGAACTTGTACCGAAATATGGTAATGACAGCGGTATTATACACACGACTCCGTATATTGGCATTGAATGATACCACGTATGTGCTTGTTTATTGTGAATGTTTACGATTGACAACAACCGGCCTGTCCGATATCGGTGCGTCAACGATACGCAGAATTTTCAATAGGTAGGTTGCCTACTTGCTTTTGGGTTGTACAACTTTTAATTCGTAATTTATACCTTTCATTTTTTTATAGACTTAACGGCTTACTAGCACTTTTTTACATATGGTTCATAACTTTATTGTCTATGATTTATTTTCTAAATAGAGATAATTTCAAATTTACTAGACGATGCCAAATTTATATAACCGCATTTAGCGTTCATATATATAAATTTTGATGCGTCACCGGAAAAAAAACAGACTGCCTACAGCTCTTCGAAATAGGCAAAGTTGTAAAATTAAAGACCCAAATAGGATAGTCGAGCTACAGTAAAAACCGTACGGCGAACATTTTGAGGTCAACTCCTCAACGTTTTTTTTTATTTAAATTACTCAGTTGTCAGGAGCCTATGTATCTACATCAACAAAAAGAAACATAATAAAGTCAGTATTTTGCTCTCTTTCCTTCAAATTAATTTTATCAAACATGAAAACAATACTAAATATTTGCAGTGAAAATGTATGTTTATATATATGTACAAATATATACACAAAGTTTGGGATTTTATCAACCAGAATGTTCCCCTGATGGGTCTCAATCAGACACTACGCATTGAACTAATATTACTAGCGTAAATACATTATGACTCAATGACTTCACACATCTAATAGTAAGCGATTTATTATCATTGCTTTTCATACATAAATATTGTAAATAATAACAATGCTTTTAAAACTAAATGTTAATGACAATTATATAAAAGTCTGCTAAAAATGAATTTACAAAAATATGTAAAACATAGAAAAAAATATATGTATGTATTGGAATGTTATTAAGAAAAACAAATGTATATGTATATTTTAATGTTTTTAAAGTAAATTAACTAGATATTTAAGAATTAGAACACAACAAAAACGCATGTTACGATGTAATACATATAATGGATAACTTCGGTGCGTATGGGAAGAGTACACTATTAGCGTAGTCACCATCAGACAGATTTCTTGGCACCTGTTGAAATGTCGTTAACATCCAGATGTGCACACGTGAGCAGGATTTGATACCTGTTGAATTAGGTAAAACATCGTATAAGTACATGACGCGTTTTATTCTGTTTGGGTCATCAGTATGCTTCGTGGGCGCATACTGCCGACAGTTATTCCAACGAAATAGCTGTTAGCTACATTTTGTTATACGGATTAAGGTCAAAAACCAACTTTTTAATATTTTTTGTTTTACATTCTTTAAGTGTCACAATTAAGAGATGAAACTACATATTATATGGAAGACAAAAAATATTTTAATTTTTATATTTAAGTCACAATTTGTAACGAACGTAAAGGTAATATAACATTTAAGACAGTTATTTCATATACTCCATCGTGTAAATAAACTAAATACGTATATAATGTATCCGTAGTTCTCATAACAGTGGAATATCGGCGACCTATTCAGACCTTCATACAATAATCCCTTGTTTAACACGGAGACATGCCTCGAATAATCAATACGTATATACGTACATTACGTATACGGAAATATGAACTTTAACGAAAGATGTCAAAGCTTACAGTACTGCTTAATGTGTGTTTTGTGGGGCTACGAGTTGAAATTAATGTTCTGCTTGAGCCGTTGGAGTATGAAAATAAAACATTTTGTCCGGTTATTGTGTTACAAAATGTATTATTTTCATAAAAATTCAAAACAGAACAACGCAGTAGCTTCTAAATGCTGACCGTCTTCGGTCTGCACTTGTTGGTGGGTGGTAACATTTGAAAACAACACACTTGTCTACTTTCAAAGAACTCGGGATGCTTTATTATGTTGTCTAGGAAAATATTATAGATTTTCCCTAATATTAGCATGAACATTTGCTTTGTGTTCTACTAGTTTGTCAATATTGTCGAATATAACACGCCGTGTCTATACGCAGTAATAGCTTAGGAGCCGGGTCTTGCCGTCGTCAACTGACACACGTTTGACACGCCAGAACTCAACACACTATCGTTCTGTGCGATTTCCTATAGTTTTAACATTAGCTATGTAAGTAAATAACCGGCAGTTTGTTTGCCTTCTTTGAATTATAATCAATACGTATTGAAAATTTTAAAGTATATTTTACGCTTTAGTTATTTAATATACCCGATGAAATATAATTGAAATCAGCTTACCAAATGCCATCGTATGGCTTTTTGAGTAAAAACATTTTAATTCTTTTCAATCTGTATCGATTTTTATCTATTGGATGAGTAGGTATATTTAGGAAGTTTTTACGGTTACGTGAGAGATTAAGTATATTAAAAACAAAATAACGCAGCTGTCCAGAAATAGGTGCTTTAGGTAATGCCATTGTTTTTAGCTTAAATATTAATAACAGTTAAGTTTTCAATCCGCCAATATTTTAATGTAATAATTTTATATTGTCAATGCAAGCTATAGGGTTAAATAATGCACGTATAAATCGCTCTACTTAATGTGAATGAGGAATAGATAAGACTGAAGCAGGCACAACAGAGCTGACACGTTAGCTGGCTACATTTGTAAACAACGAATATAATATTGTAGTAAAATGCAATGTGTGTACAGAATATACGTAATACGTGTAATTAAAGAAATCTGAGTAGTTATTAAGGTTGAATAGATTCCGACTATATGTGTAGCTTACCCGCAAAATGAACTAAAACTATGTTGATATATTAATGAATTTGTTAAAAAAATATGTATATAGTTACATAGGATAATGTATTTGAAATGTGTAAAGAAATGTTAGTGTGCGTCTTTGTTCACTGGGGTGTGTTGAAGTTGATTCGTCTGTTATAGTTTTAAACATTTTAAATTGAGCGATTCCTGTGACGCGTCTGAACGTTACGTCTCGGTGAACAATGGTCTTTAGTGATACTTGCCTTCATAGTTTTATTTAAGTTTTGACTGATCGTTTGTATAACATTACTTTTTTACACTCCATGCATTTTTAAGTCAACGCAAATGTTTTTTTAAATATTTAGGTACAACAAACTATAGTCAACAATTTTTGTAATATGGATTAGTGTAATTTGTTTATCAATATCGATGAGTAAGTCATTAATTTATTTCATGCGCATGTTTAAAATATAAATGTTTGTTATTTATAGTAACCGAACTAATGTATCATGAATCTGAGCCAATACCTTGCACTAATCCGTTTCGTAGTTGTAATTTGTAAATATAGTCGACCTGTTCAGTGGATTATACCTATCACGTTGTCATAAATACGTACGGTTTTTGTATGATTGGGTTTTACATGTTACGGTGTATGCTATGTCATTCATTAATTATAAATGAAATTTTAAAATTTACTTTACGCAGTTTTATTCCGAAACCCATCCAATGTGAAAATTCATCGAATCATCATTCATTCAAACACAATTGGACGAATCTAAAAGATTCGTCTCAGTATAGAAACAGTGATGAATGTTATTGCAGGTCACCGACTCCTTTTTACGCATTCAGATTCTTTATATTGGTAGCGAGAGGCGGGCGAGAGGTGCCTCGCTAGAAAGATACGTGTTTCGGGTATTACACGGCATTGCCCCACAATAACGCTGTTGAGATTTCCTGGTATCACTGCGCCGAGTATTTCGGAATCGGAAATAAGGATTCTGGGAAATCATTGGCCTCCGTCGGCACCGGCGCGTGTGGAGGACGGCCGATGAGCCGACTGCGGGCGTGTGGGTGTAGCAAACCGCGGTATTACGACAATCTTTATTATCGTTTGACGATTATAATGTTTTCTTTTTCTTACGAAATAAGAACAATTTCTTTAAAATTTAGTGACTTCAGTGCAATTAAGTATACCAAAACTATTACTGGGAGTTAGAAGACGACACATTTTACGAACAGTGAACGAGGAAAAGTATACAATTATTTAGGGGTATCCTAGCAATATAATTATTACTTTATCGTCATAATACTAAAATGGTTAAAAATATCACAGTTATAGTATAAATAACAACATTGATACTTTATTCTCGAAATCGGTGATTGAACACTTTTTCGTCAAGGGCTCATATAACACGATTAGATATTCCATCCGGCCGCAATTCATAAACTTGTTTATATTATTATATTTATCTTATATACGGTATGGTCATATTGAAGAATTCCTGACTTTTATTTCTGAAATCACAATTTGACTGAGAAAGTTGAACGTCAAAACAGACCAATAAACATAATAGTAAGAGACATCAGAGCAGACATCACTTTTAATATTGAGCTTTAGGATATTAATTTATGTGAAATTTTTCGCCACTGTCTGCATAAAAATTATAAAAATAATAAATTAGATAATGTACTTAGGTAGTCAGAGAATAACTACACTTTTTAACCAGAAATTAAAAAAAATACGGGTAGAATTGGCTTCTTGAATTTTAATATGAATACCTACTTAATTATTTAACACCTTGTGTATTTTTAGTGTGTAACTCGATGAAAAAAATTACATATGAAGGTATACATAATTTTTCTTCATAATGCACTTTATAATTTTTTTTTGAGTCTGGGAATACATGCAATCTTTAGTACGTCTTTTTACCCTGGTGGTAAAAAGACGTACTAAAGATTGCATTCGCTTATTTTAGCTTTGCTTTTGTAAGTCAGAGTAAATAAACAGTAGATGTCCGCATTGATTGAGGAGCCATTTCAGATTTTAACGGAAACTCCCCCCTTATTTAGTAGGTGAGCAAATAATTTTGTAAGACGAATTCTGAAATTTGTAGTAAGATATATCCAAAGTTACATCAATGTAAAAGTGGCTCCTTAATCTAAACATTTGGATTGTATGGATGTATTTAATAAATATTTTTGAAAATTTTGTATCATTTAGTAATTAGTAGTAATTATGTTTAGTGCCTACTAAAAACCTGCATCCAGTACTGTTGATATTCAAGAATATACAATACTTTTAATGTGGCTCCTTAATCTATATTTAAGAGCGTGAATTGCCATGAAATTAATAGGTCAAAATTAATATTCCACTCAGAAAATATTTAGTAGCAAGTGTGTTTGAATTAATTGTCGCCACCCCAATTCATCCCGTGGGTGTCGTAAGAGCCGACTAAGGGAGCAAACTAAGCAGGACAACAGCACTGCAAAGAGAAGGAAAACTTGAAACAAACCCTATACCAACCCGTCTGGCCAGCGTGGTATAGTAGGCCAAAACCTCCTTGCTAAGGGGAGGCCTATGTCCAGCAGTGGACTAGTATAGGCTGTTGATGATGATGATGATGATGATGTGTTTGAATTTGTAGCATTAGGAGAAAGTTGTAAAACTGAGTGGATTTAGTAAATAAACGCATTTTATTTGGCTCCTCAATCCTGGCGTTCTGCATAAAAATAATCGACTGTACCTACATGAGATCACAACAGAAAAAAGAACTGTAGACACTAACATTTAGTATAAATGTCTACTAAATAAGTATGTACAGATCAACGTTGTATATATTCGGTATCTGTAAAATAAATTACTTTTTGTTATTCCTTGTGAATTCGCTATTATATATCTATATTATAATAACGCAATGTATAGAAATTCTTCAGTTAAAAGTACTTAGTAATCGTTGCTTTGGTTGATCGGTGCTTTGACGAATTTTACAGTGACAATCATAGACGTAACAAAACATCTCATCCTTTGTTGGGTAGTGACATGTATCAGTTGTCTCATGCCAGCGTGGCTAATTGCGGGGATAAATTCTTTAACACCTATTGTTATAATACCTGCTGCCACCTATTTCGCTGCGATTTGTATCAAAAATGATAATTCAATATAAAAGAAATAATCACTACGTCTGCAATAACTATTTGTCAGTGTTGAAATACTGACTCTTGTGTCGCTATACTCAGCGATAACGAGATAAATAAATATTATTGATGGTAGGTAGGCAACCACATTAATTTGCAGTTACCCCCAAATAAATAGATAAAATAAAAAAAGTGTTTTATTTTTTGCGAAACGGAACGAAAAAATACCTTTTATATAAGTTGTTCATGGACACCCTACAAAAAAAGTGTTAGGAAATTAAAGAATAGCTAATAACTTCGTAGATACTGTACTTTTTTATGTCAGGACTATACATACATTTAGTATAAATTTATACAAAATATAGATGTTTTATGTTCCAAATTTCGTCACAAGTATAAGTATTTTAGAGTCAAATCTATTTACCGAAGCATCTTAACTGAGGAGCCACTTAAAATGTGTCATATCTCTCAAGGACAAAATACATACAAAATAATTAACCTGAATTGCTGGATTAACGAAAATCTATATGAATTTAAAGTTTATTGCTTGGGTGGTCTTAGAGTACAAAATTCAGATGTCAGCCTTTCAGCATTTACGTTTTTGGTCCATGGTTGAATGGCAAAGTAGAGTAACCCGGGAAAATTCTATAGAACTCTGATTATTTCGGAAGCGTCTTGCAAGATCGATGTCATTAATGCTTGGCAGATGGCTTGTCCCAATACTTTGCCTGTTAATCCATTCGTTCAGAGGCAATGGCCAATGAGACACATCGCCATGTGTTTTAAAACGGAGTAGGTATATTAATTACCACGTCTAATCTTGCAGAGCGCGCGCGTTTAATTGCTGGGTGTATTTATACTTCTGAGCCCCATTAAAGAATGCGATTCAGGACTATAAATAGGACATAGGTACCTTGTTAGACAATACCACAATTCGTCTTGACACGCCTTCGTTAAAAGACCACCTTGTAGATATTGCCTCCGCATCTTTGTCACTATGGAGAAGCTGTTAATAATTTTGTACATCATGACCTTTCTTCTAGCCGAAGAGCTAGCCGTATGGCTCGACATACCAATATTAACGATAAAATCTGTCGTTCTCTTGTTACCGACACCGTTCCAGTGGTATTTGAAACCAAATGGTCTGCCACGAGACGATGAGAAGTTACGACCAGATGGTAATTCGTTACTGTCATGGAAGATGGGTGAGCCGAGTCTTTGATGTGAGTCGGAACCTGCACAACACTGTCGCGCTATTACATCTTTCAAACACAGCTGATTATGCTGGCGCTGCTGAAAAACAGCATAACAACAATCACATTACAGTCAACGTTGAAAGTTCAATACTTTACCACGAAATACCTTTTATGAGATCGAGAGTTGATCGGAACTGAATTGTTGTGACCGAACTTTTATTACGAGAATTAGCCTTCAGGTGACCGGTTTACTTGTTTGCCATATATACTCATGTCATATGAAAAATTGAAAAATTCCGTTATTTCTTTTACCAATTTATTGTGTTTATGACAGTAGTGTCTTATTTTCTGCCAAGATTGTTTTGTGATTGCACAAAGCCTAAGACCATATTTTAACTTTAACTTTTGTTTAATGGTTTTGTTGTATAGTTTCAGTTTCAACTGATAAAGGACATTATGGTTGATTTTGGTTCTAACTAAACGGAATTTGACCAGCTGGGTGTGTGCTGTTGATTCATTTGACTTGGTTGTCTAAGTTAAGACGTCACTGTCATTCATGGATGTCAAATAAACGTCAATTGTTAAATGTTTTGTTTACGTGTTGTTTGTTATTTATGAGAATAGGATAAATAGAGAAACCTGAAAAAAGTTAATGAAGTTCATTAACGGTCATAATGGCAGCGGCGTTTCAACAGCAAATTTTTGCACTAGATGCGCGCTTCAACGCATATAGGGCACCAAACAATCCTAATTTTAGTAAGTGTATCTTATAAACTACACAACTCTTTTTTTAAATATTTCATTGTGGATATTATAATTTAAACAAAAACGAACAAAAGAAACCGTTCCTTCATTTTAACAAGCTAATGACTAAATAATTTCTACAGAAACACTCTATATACGTCGTCGAAGTCAACTATTGAGAGAAAACGCTAAGTTTAAGGTAGGTAGGTAGATTTAGCAACATCTAATTTGTTTACATCTGAGTGCCTATTGAATAATGCCTCATAAATAATGTTTAATGATCGTAGGATATAGAAACAATAAAGAAATACATAAATGTCAGAAGTCAGCTGCTCCAACGCCGATATGGAGTGCAGGACAACATATCTATCAGCTCTGCCTCATCACGGCCCAGGTCTAGCAGTAAGGTACTGAAATTTGTTGTTTTTTACTTTATAAATAGCAGAAGTACATAAAAGTGTTTATTTTAATCACTTAGATGGCTACAGAATTATTTGAGACACATTTGTTATCATACCCAGATCCAGACAACATAATTTAAAAGTAACTTTACTGAAGGCTACCAATGCACTTGTGACAACTGAGTTGCCATCCATGCTGTCAATGGGTGATGGTAAGCACTTACTGTCAGGTGTCCTGTCTGTTCCATAAATAAATGCCTATTTACTTACAAATTTTTTGACTATGATTGTGATGATATCATACATAAAATAATGTTAGTGTCACACTGTATTGTATTGTACATTGAAGCAACAAAACTATTGTGAATTGATCATGTGTATTTTGTATTGATTGAGTACACAAAAATCACCACAGTAAACATTAGAGAAATGTTGCTAGTATAATAAAACTGTGGTTCATTTCAGACTAGCATGGTTGTAGATGAAAGTCCACTGAGCAACAATTCAAAGAGGAAGAATGACATGACTATATCAGAAAACTATGCTTTCTCTGGAGTACATCACATATTTGATCAGGTAATTATCACTATTATTATTGAAAACTACGCAGAACAACAGCACTGCAGAGAGAATGAAAACACAAACCCTATACCAACCCGTCTGGCCAGCGTTGTATAGTAGGCCAAAACCTCTTTTCTAAGGAGAGGCTTATGTCCAGCAGTAGACTAGTAAAGGCTGTTGATGTGAATTATCACTGACATAGAAAATATCAGAGTTATATACAGGGTAGTAGGCAAGGAAATACTCCCAAAAATGAAAATGGATGATAGTACTAATGTGATATGTTTGATGATGGATGGATGGATTTTTACATTGTTTTATTAACTTCGTTTCTGCATGCTTCATCAGCCGTTTTCGATTTCATTTTGTTTTAGTAAAGTGATATATTTTTTTCAAATCATCGTTTCATTTAGTTATACCAACATGTTTTAGTGTGAATAATGGTGATGAAACAGATTCAATTTTTTTCTGATCGTCATCAACAGTATCATTAGTATTCCTAACATACTATATTATGCATATAACAACAGTTATTTTTATAAGCAGTAGTAGAAGGCTATGGTTTCTTTAGACCTGTGTTGCAAATTATGCACATTGATGATGACGAATTATCTTCACGTAATGATGTGTATATAATACTTATTTAATAAATATATTAATATTTTCTTCAGCACACAGATCAAGTAAGCGTAGTGAAGTTTGCGAACAATGACCGTTCAAAGCTGTGCTGTGCCTCGCACGACGGTACTGTCTCTATTTGCGACGTGACCGCTACGCCACCAAAGGTCTCCTTTGTGCTACAAGGTCACACGAAAGCTGTAACTGGTATGTGCTTAATGTTAACTCCTTCAGATAATGAAGTCTTTTTCCTTCTCTTCCTACATTGATAACTCAAAATTGAATAAAATAATATATTTAAATTGAAAACATCTTGAAACACAACTCATACGGCTGTTTGATCTGATTGTGTTTCTGAATACAAACACTCATTTTATATATAAATCACAACCAGACCCAGAACAAATGAACCTTAGATGGGTATAGAACCGAGGACCAAGTTGGTTCCAACCAAGTTAGGATCGCTAACCACCAGACATACAAGCCAGTCAATGAATTGCGTAAGTGAATTAAAAAAGAATTTGTAATACTTTTTCCATTTCTATACTGTGCCTTGATAATTTATTATTGCAGTTGTGAAAATAACAACAACCAAGCCAACTCAGCTACCAGATTATTACACATTAGCTGGTTCGCGTGGAATTTGAAAAGCGCTGCCTTAATGGGTTCGATTCTCGGACCGGGCAAATTTTATAGGGTTTTTATGAAAGAAAAAATTGCCCAAGCTACTCTTTTATTATTGTCTAATATTATCAAATTTGGTCTAGCCGTTTTGAAGATTACCCAGAACAAACAGACACACAAAAAATATTTAAACTGGTTTTAAGGCATAAGTATCGTGCAAATAACCGTGTAAGCATGAAAAAACCCTATTATTTTAACATACTAACACACACTTCTATTTTATATTTTTGTATAATAATTAAAATCGAAGAATGAAAGAATGTATTAAATATATATTTAAAGAAAAACTAAGCGAGCTTTGCTTATTGAGCTTATTGCTGCCTTTTCTGTTGTTCATTTTAACAGTTCACTTAGATGTTTAAAATATATCCTGTTACGTGTCATGACGAAGCTAAGTGTATATTAATCTATTACTGATAACTTTATCATACATTTACTAGAATAGAGTTCGTACGGAAACGGAAACTTCATCATTGGATAGTGGTTTCCGTGAGAATAACTAGATATGTGGTCATGGAAGATGAACCTACATGAAATATCTGTTGCATAAAGACTTCTCACTCATAAATATAAATATCGAGTCAGCAGCATTAACAGCATTTACTAGTCCACTGCTGGACATAGACCTCTCCTTAGAAAGAAGATTTTGGCCTACTATACCACACTGGCCAAAAGGGTCGGTATAGGGTTTGTGTTAAGTTTTCCTTCTCTTTGCGGTGTTGTTGTCCTGCATTGTCTGTTCCCTTAGACGGCTATTACGACACCCACAGCATGAATAGGGTCGGTGACACTCTGTATTCTTAATCCGTCACCACAGTATAGTGCATAATGAATACCCAAGATTGTAATAAAACTGATCATTATTAAAAAATAAAAGAATAACGCCCTCTTTTTGTATTGTTTTACGAAGAGCTCTCAATTTCTCTAAATGTAGGTATATGTTTTTTCCAAGTAATAAATAGTAGCTTGGGGAATCATAGCTGTAGAGATTCTATCAGTTAATTTATGCATTCGAAGACAGTGTTATGATAACCTATACATGCGACTGTGTCTACATTTAGGTCTTTAAATACTTTTAGCCATCAAAGAAGATCATTACGATCTTTGTGCAGGCATATAAATTACTAATTACGAAGAAATATTCTACGCTAAGGGTAGAAAACTGTCAATGTAATTTGGTAGGGGCATGAATGGTCCGCGGGATTGAAGACTCCGAGACAGTCCTCCACTGTCCTTTTACGCAGTTAGAACTAGATTCCACTTAGGCCTCATCAGGGTACAATTCTACTTGTATTGTATTTGTAGTAAGTAAATATAAAGAGAAAGGATGTTACGAAACCGGTTAGCTTCTGCAATGTAATAGACCTGTAAATGGACAAAAGCAATTTTGTTGGAAAAAATACTTTTAAAAGATTTTTTTTAACTAGTAAGAGTTTTACTTGCAACATAATATTTGAATGCACTGCTGCTGATTATAGTATAAAGCAATGCAATAAGTACATAATATATGTTATTTAATAGGTTGTGACTGGTCAGCGTCGAACGAGTTGCTGGTCACATGCGGTCTCGACGGCGCGCTGAGCCTGTGGGAGGTGGCGGGGGGCCGGCGCCTGCGCTCGGTGCCGGACCAGCTCGCGGCGCCGCTCTTGTGCTGCGTGTTCCAGCCCGCCAACAATAACATGGTCATTGTATCCTTTAGGAACGTATAAATTACAAGATTGTGTGCTCCTTGTGGAACTCGCTTATGGTATTATTATTAGTACTTTAATGGGAATTTATTTTTCATCATGAACAATAAAATTATATTTCATAGTTGTGTAATATCCTGAACATGTAACAAGGCCGGCAACGCAAGAGGCATGGTCGAAGTTCTCAACATATCGACTGGCATATATCCTAAAGGTAAGGTATTGCCATATTACTTTTAACGAATTAACAAATAAGTACTCATCGACTATACAGTACGTGTATACACACAAAGCTTTTTCGGTCTTCCTCACAACATCACAACACATTTTTTGTAAATAATAGATTCAAAGTTGAGCATTTATATTGAAAAAATCAATCTGATTTTTATAAAAACAAAACTTGAATTTTTTTACGATACGTTTTCCTATACAACTATAAGGTTTGTGTACACCTCACTAAACAGGGAATAACCACATATACTTATATTTGTTTCAGGAGGGAGCAGTATTCTCGGCGGGAGAGTATTATCGATAGCCTGTGAATCCAGCGGTAGAATGTTCTGGGCAGCAAACGATAAAGTATATGCACATCTGGTTTTTTTCTTAAAAATTACTTCAAATTATTTTGAAATTAGTAATACCCCTAAACTGCCAAAAATAATTAGAAATAAATATTTTTTGTAGTTGTAATGCAAAAGGGATGTCTAATCGGGTTGGAGATAGGGATTGCAACTCGCGACAATTTACATCCGGCCGATAATTTCACTAATTGGGCTATATGCGGCCGGTAGGTAGGTACTATCTATCGGGCGTGTCCTAACATGTTTTTGGTTAGAGCTAAAATACCATATTGGTATAATTATCATTTCTTTGATTTTGTATACGTTTTTGAGGTCTGTAATTTAACACACCTCTAACATAAGGTCGTTAAGTTCCTATGTATGACATTTAGTACACAATACCTAGTGTCGTGACGGATCACCATCTGTGAGGCGAGATTGTTCGTCAGTAACAGTACAATATTCCGTGGCAGGGTGTGATCATCAGCTACCGCATGGACAGCGCGGGCGGCGGGCTGAGCAAGCTGCGGCGCTGCTGCGTGGGCGGCGCCGTGACGTGCCTGGGCTGGAGCCCGTGGCTCGCGCGACACCCCGCGCTGCTCGTCAGCGCCGCCGACAACTCGCTCTACCTTTTCAGGTGCCACACTTTTCACCACCTACCTATTCTTGTGCCTTTCCCTCACCGGGCAGGCTGTTCTCTAGAGAACTCTTGATATAACAGCCGACACGCTTTTGTTACTTTCGATTTGATTTAAAATTCCTTAAATTAGGTTGATATTCGATGTTCTATAATTGAATAAGAATGGAGCAACGAGGACCCGAACTCTCTCTCTGTCTTCCTGCCTATTCGTCCTACATGATGGTGGGATCAGCCCTCTTCGTGTAGTTCCACTGGACCCAAACAACTATAGAATAATAAATTATCTAGCTAATATATTATAACATTATGTTTTAGACTTTTGTACATTTATATATATATAGAATAGTTAAATTCATAAGTTTTTTTCGTATTATCAGGATTGCAGATCGTGAAGGAAATCTCTCTCTGAAGAAGCGCTTCGATGTATTGCACACGAGCCACAGCGTGAAGTCCACGTTCTGTCCCATCATGTCGTTCCGTCGCGGTGTGTGTGTGGTGTCGGGGAGCGAGGATTCCTGCGTGTACTTCCTCGATATCGAGGGACATGCGGAACATCCCGTCGTTAATAAACTACAAGGTAATTTAAAATAATAGTTTAAGTTTCTTAAGACCCAAGTCCCACTCATTTACATCAAAAGCATGCATTGTCAAGGACCTAAAAGTTTTAGTTATATCTTAAGATAAAAGGATATTTAACCGATTTCAAAGAGGAGGTAATCAGTTCGGATGTTTTTTTTTATGTATATGTTTGGGCATAACTCCGTTATATATAGCCGGTTTTAAAAAATCTTTTTTGTTCGAAATGGTCCCATTTAAATTTCATATAGATCTGATGATGAGTTTCGGAGTCAGACAACGGAACTCCTTAAAAAATGACAGCAAATCAACCGCGATCGCTGCTAGGTTTTTAGTGCTCTTTGTTAATATTGTTTGAAGTTGGTTCAACTTTTTTTTAAAAGGGATTTTTACCAAACTTATCTATAAAAAAATCCAGATAAGTAGTGCATCCTTTATTAAATAATCCTTAGTAATCCTACAAAAAATAGACTTTGAAAGGAATCGCATTAGGTGATAACTTTATGTTAAATACCAAAGAGATTCATTTGATTTTTTAATACAATGAACATTCTACAAGTTTTCCTAACAAGAGCATGTTTTCCATCTTTATTATATACTTCTTGTTTGATAATACGTTTTGTTGTTACAGGCCACGCTTCCCCGGTGTTGGGTGTGAGTTTCAGCTACGACGAGAGTCTGCTGGCCACCAGTGACGTGTCCGGCCTCGTTATTATCTGGCGACGGAGTTGACCACTCTTAAGTAATATAGCGGCGAAAACTTTATGAATTTAAATGTACCGTCGTCAAATTAAATCACTTTATATGTATACATATATACTATACTGTAATAGATATATACAATCGAGTTATAAAAATGAAAAAAAAAATATTTATTTTCTTCCTAATTAATATATAAATAAATATAATATGGTAGACTTTTATATTATTAACTGCTTCTTTTACAAGACTAATGTTGTTCATATTAGAGGCACTTCTCGATCTCGTTGCGATTTCTTGTGGTTTGCAATTCTTAGTTTAAAAGTTATAATAAGAGAGATTGCATGTAAAGTATTAATATCTTGTAAATAAAAGGCTTATAATATTGACTCACAAGTTTTATTAATTATTTTTTTTCATAGAAATACTTTTAAAAGACTCGACAAAGTCACAATATGAAAAGACTTCCAATGCACATTCACTAAATACTGCCGACAACTCATACAAATCAATAACAAACTTACTTTCAATAAATACCATAATTAATTGGACAATTCATTCAAATAAATTTCTTATTTTTATCATTAGCTTGGAGTAACCTAGTTGTTTGAGTAAGATTTGTAATAACGAGCAGAAATGTATAAGTTACACTAAAGAGCTGATGTCGGCGTCGTGTCGGCGTCGTGTTCGCGGCTCACGACGCGACATCGCCCCACAACTACGCACTCTAACCAAATGAAACATCTATCACTTATTTACAACTGTACATCAACGAAAACATTCTAAAACTGTAAAAAATAATGTTCAGAACAATAAACGTGTAGTACAATCAATAAATTTTAATATTCGAAAAGATTATTTCCTTCAATACATAATAACATTAAATTATATTTACAGCAATAACTAAACAACTAAAACGCGATGATATGGAAATGAGAAGAATTGCACATTAGGTTCACACTTGGACGTATTGCATACTGTAGTGGTGACGTCACCCACCCACCGGCGCTGGCGCTGAGTGTACAGACGCAATGTCGATCTATCACCACATATTGTTATATCTAACACTACACTTACCTAATATAAACTTTTACTTAACTAACAATTGGCTTTTTAACCTCAATCGTAGACCGAAACTCTTATAATTTATATATACTTTGAGGTTTAAAAGGTGGAAGATGCGTACTCACTTGTGCGTTACGTAACATTTCGCCCATCATCACAGTTCAACCGACGGTACACATCACAAATTGTTGGTGGGAATCATACCGGACCCATATATGTAGATGTAAAACATTTAATTCGCGCATCCACATTGTAACACTATGAGTACGAAATAAGAGTAAAAAACATTTACGTATGAAAACTACCGAGTACAAGGATGGGCTGCTTTGATGTAGTTTACCTGGAGAGGTGACCTTCACGCTACCGTTTATTCATTACGAGTACTAAATTATGAACGATTACTAACACGAATGAGTGTAATTTACAGAAAGGACTATTCAAATGACGACTTGTCATGTATGTTGATGGCTCCTAAGTAAAGTGAGTCAACCATTTTTATAACTTATTTCATTACAATTAACAATTCGTTAATTAATATAACTTATTTGTCACAATCACAAAACTTAAGAAAAAACACAAATAGTTTTAACTAAAACAGTAGTTTCAAACAAACAAATGGTACTTAAACAGTTGTAAGCATCGTTCTCTGACACGCTCTCCAGTAAAATTAAAATTTTATCAAAGATTGCCACAGTGTGATAAGGTCATTATAGTGGTTCTCACTTCTCTTTGTATAACATTTAGTGTACAATAAAGAGGTTTATATTATTATTATTTTGTAGATGACTCACTACGTAGGATACATTGATGTGAAGTTGACTGAAGGTGATGTAAAGACATTGAAACATGTTAAGTAAAGATAAAGTGGACAGTAAAGGATCAATTTCAAATAAATACATAAATATAAATCTTGATCACCTGTTCGGTGTTTTTTTTACAATTCAAACAATCATTCGTGCGATTCAAGAACAATTTTCGAATATAGAATGCCTTAACGAAAAATGGACGCGATTTATCAAAATTAGGCTGTATTTGCGTGTAAACAGCATGAAAACCCTTAATGATAAATAATTGTGTTATATCTATTGATGGCTATTTGTACCTTGGTGAGTGAACGTGTGAGGTTCGCTTGCGTTGCCACAGACAAGCCAGGCGACGAAGGTGCTCCTCAATACTGTTTTGAAACGTCCAGTCGGGAAATTCAAATTAACTAAGTTAATCTATTTTGCAATGAACGGTATTTTAATGAATACTGTATATTTTTTTTGTTTTCAAACATTAGATATGGGCAAATCATCAGTGTTTAAGAAGGCAAGAAGCAAGATGGTAACATCGTATTTTTTTATCTGATACTTGTTAGTGCTATGTTGTTGGTATTAAAATGTAATGAACTAAAACTTCCAAACTGGACGTACTTTCGCAACTATCGGCTATAAAATGTTAGCTCCGATATGTATAACAAGTATATTCAGCAGTAATACTTTGCTGTTTGTAATACTATTTATTAATAATGGCAATCGTTCCATCGACTTCACCCGGATTCGACGATTTCTGTGATACTGGCTTGAAGATGAGAGAAGTACTCATTTTAATCAGAACTTCACTTAAACTTGTATTTCTATCTCGCTCTCTCTCATAATAAGTGAATAGGAAAAGACAGAATTACACTTTTACAAATAAGTTGTCTCTGTGTAAGATTCTGACAGAAATCAGTACTCATTTCATACAAAAAAAATCCCGTAACATCAAACTTTGTTCGTACAACAAAGTGTCAGTTAGGGTGTACACCATCACATTTATATATATATCGATACACAACTACAAGTTACAACTACATTGTTCTACGAGACATTCGTCTTGTTACGTTCGAGGGTGGCTTTAGAGCTGCTCTCGATGCCCGAGTCCTCGTCGCCGCTGTCCAGCACTGTGCCCTCGCCCTTCACTGGCTCTACGACCTTTGGACTCGGACTTTCAACCTTCACTTCTATTGTGTTCTCTTCGACTTCATCCGTTAATATCAACTTTTGTTCGGGTTCGGATTTGGGTGCGCTTTTGCCGAACGTCGAGAACGTCGGCTCTGGGACCGGCAAATCTTCGCATTCTTTCTGTAATGGAAGTGATGTAGTGACGATGGGGGTGTCATCTGTCATGACTAAGGGAGTGGTGCCTATTTCAGTTCGTTCTTCCCGCCGCTTGGGCTTGTCCAACACGAAATTAAATACTCTACTGTGACGCGGTGACGGTATATGTGGGCTCGGAGGTAAGTCTAACTTTAACTTATCTCTCGTGTGTCTCAGGCCACCCAGAGCTTCGCCTCCAGGAGAACTAGGACTGACGGACTCGCTAGAGCTTCCACTGTCAACCGGTCTCCAGGTCAACTCAGTTTCTGGCAGTTTCTTCTTAAAATCCTCGTCCGTAGTCGACCCAGGTGTAATGTCTTCAACTCCCGAGTCTGGAGTGGTGAAGTCTAGAGATGGTGTTCGTGTTTGCATTAACGTGGTGGTAGGTAATGGCGAAGGGGGCGGGGGGAAATCCTCGGTGACGTCGTCCGAGAGATCTCGCTCTAGAAGGGACGGTTTGATGTGTTTGCCGGGAAAGAACTGGCTAGTCATGATGCCTAAGCTCTCGAAGGGACGCGCTGACGATGATATGAAGAAGTCTTCGTCGTAATCTGCAACACGAAAATTAAGTCACCGTGAAATAACCGAATCTTTAAGATAAGATACAAAGTTTCGTGATATAAGATATATTAAGATTTTTTAGATGTGTTGTGTGTGTGCCTTTGTTAAGGAAAGACATATAATTTATGATGGTAATCATCCCATTGGATTAAATAGACATACGTGACGTAGTACATAGACTTCTCTGTAGGAAGTGAATTTTGGATGCTATGTCCCGTGAGTGTAACAACTCCCCTGGTGTTTCTGTATGGAAAGATGGTAATATCTGTAGTGGTGTCCGTACCAGGTCCAAAGGCGATGCCAGCTCGCAGCGGGTAGAGGTCGAGCGGGCTGGGCGCTCCGAACAGTTGCCCGTAGCCGAGCTCCGCCTCCTCAGCGCTCGTAGCGTCCCATTCTGCCGATACACGCGTTTTAAAATTACGAATAAATTACATTTCTTGAGACGTGAAGCCTAGGCTAGTTAATATTAACTTATGGTGGATTTAACCATTGTATGTGTTATTTACACTAACCCTATACCAAATCATCGTGGTATAGTAGACCAAAACCTCCTTTCTAAGGAGAGGCCTATGTCCAGCAGTGGACTGTTAAAGCCTGGTGATGTGATGTGTGACATGGTATTAGTAACTATACATTTTTATTCACTGGAAACAGAACTTTGTTAACATATCTCATAGTATTGTAGGTAAATATTTATAATATTAACAATAAAATTAAAGTTATAATATTCTTTCATTCTCGTTAATCTTTGTAACAAGTTGCTAATTCTTTTGTAGACTATTATAATCATATATTTAACATAAGGCTGTGATTCTTACAAATGGAGGAGTGACTCAACGGGGATAAACTGTGTTATAAGTTTGAAAAACAGTAATAATGCAAGTTTGGGCACTTAATATGCCTATGTCTACGCCTTCGGACATAACGACTTGAGTGTACGTCTTTCTTTCTTCTTTTTTTTCTAGAAAACTCCCGTGAGACATGATATAGCACACTACAGATACAGTACATAATTATATAAACATTGTAGTAAATATTCCCAGAATATATCCTGTGTCGCGGGGGACTTCACAAACATTCATGAAACGGACACAAAGAACACAAAGACACAGAACAACAATTTGTAGATTACACATAGTATTGTCCCATGTGGGGATCGAATTCCCACCACCCAGCGCAGTAGTAAGTAGCGAGGTGACCTCTGCCGTGCAGTATGTACATAACGCAAGTGTATAGGTACCGGAGTAGGTGGAGAAGTCCGGCAGGTAGGCGGCGGGCGAGTGCGCCTCGATGTCGGGCGCCTCGCGCGGGTACTCGTACACACAGTGGTACTTCTGCCGTTTGAACACGACACGCTTCTTGTTGTCCTACAAGGTCGATAACCACGTCAGTGAGTAATATGTTAATTTACAATTCCAGAAAAAAAAAATCACACAATCAATGACACGAAGGTCAAATGTGAGCCTTTTACAGTTAATAGAGTAATTTATTTCGGTAGAAAGAAGACTAAATACATATTAAAAAAACATCCTGAATATATTACCTAATAAAATTTGCTTAAGTTACTATAATAATAATATTCTACTACATTCACACAACGCCATCTAGTCCCAAACTAAGCAAAGCTTGTACTATGGGTACTCAACTGATATAAATGCATATATACTTGTTTTTTTCTAAATACATACTTATTATACATAGAAACACCTAGACCAAATCAAACATCAAGTGTTCATGCACACAAATGTTTGACGTGAGCGGGAATCGAACCCGTGACCTTTGGAATAGCAGTCCGTTACGTCCGGATATTCAAGCCAAATCAAAGCCTATTTAATTAAATATGTAAGAGTTTATCGAACTTCTATTTTTACCCACCGGTGTTGCCTGCTCCAAGCTCCTCAACGAAGACTTTGCGGGAGCGGCACGACAATCCCACGAGGACGGCACAAACTCTACCTCGTCGCCTTCGGAGCCTGACCCAGAGTCACCAGACGCGTCCGAAGCCCCAGAACCCGCGCCACCGTCTGACCCTTCTCGTTGGGTGCACCCACTGCCTTGAGATTCACCTGTGCGTTGCTGCAGAGACAGTAGTCAAATTAGTAACATTAATTTAGTGCCTTGCGGTTGTCTTTTATAGTTTTATGAATTTATTACAAATGATATAATAAATATTTAAATGTTGGCCACGAACCTGATATTTAACGATGTGACAATGAATTGCTATGATTAAAGCAAAACATAACGGTATACTACAACTAAATTTATCAAAGAACAAATGATCTGGGAAAATATAATTAAGCACGAAACAATAAATGATTCCTATACTACAAGAAAAATAACACGATCACTGCATATCACCCAACACACACATCACAAACACTATCTATTAAAAAATTGTTTTCATCACAAAATGAAACAATCTATGCAATTTACTTACAATAGGCATTATGCATTTTCGGAACGTGGCAAGATATTGTGTAACTGAAATATTAATTTACATGATTTATTTTGAAAACAATACATATATTTTTTTATAATAAAAAAAAAGCGTGGCTGGAACTACAAGTGGTTATAAAAATTCTTTTTTATTTGGTCCAATTCGCTACAATCCTTAGGAGCGGAGTGGTCTTAAAGCCTTTATTAAAATGTTCTAAAAAGGGTATGAACATGAGGTGCATGATATTTTTTATTACTTTTTTGTATGCAGAGGGCAAACGAGTAAATTTGACAGCTTCCTACTGCGCTGAGTGTTGTGGGTTCGATCCCCACATGGGACAACACTTTGTTGTCCCCCGCGACACAGGATTTATACTAAGTGAGGGAGCTGTCTTTAAAAACAAAAGAGCAACAGTGTCACCAGATGGTAAGTGACTATCTTCGCCCATGGATACCTGCAAATCAAGGGCCAACCTAGAATTATGAAGGTTTGGACTTCAGTAACCTTACTCTTTGATGTACAATATAATTATAATCCTAATGTTTCAGTAACGATTAAAAATTACCTTTTTTTAAAATACAACTCCCGCGAATATATCCTGTGTCGCATGGACCTTACAAACATACATGAAACCGACACAAAGAAAACCCAGACTCAGAAAAACAATGTGTGGATACACAAAGTATCGTCCCATGTGGGGATCGAACCCACGAAGTTATGACTCGTAAATAAACATATGTACAACTTACATGATCGAAGTGCGTGGTTGGCACGACCGAGGTCTCGTGGCCGTCGCCGTCCTACGCGACACACACATGTCACATACATGCAAGCACACCGACACCTTACTATTTACACATATGTACATTTAAATCTACCTGCATCCGTGTGACGTCATTGACATGTATAAGATAACGGACTGAATATAACTAAGGAAGGAAAAGTTTAGAAAACGAGTGTATTTGTATTCTATATATAAATATCTAATTATGATATTAATAATAATACATTCACACATTTCACACACGACAGTCTGATCCCAAACTAGGCAGTCTGTACTATGGTAACAAGTCTGCTAATAAACATACTTATATATTTCTAATAACATATTATAGATAATTTACACAGAACAAATGACCGTGCTCACATAGTATTTGTCCTAGGTGGGAATTTAACCCACGACCGGATTTGCTAATCACTGGGCTAACAGGCTATATTTTAGTAACATGATATATTTTAGAAACATTAGAAGCCTATTTTCAGACCATTAGATAGAGATAGTAAGAACTTCTATTGCAATTAATCTTAATTGTTTTATATTCTTAACATTTAACAGGTTTTGTTTTGTGTGAGTGACGCTGCCCATGAACACCTGCAGCAACAAGTTGGCCTGACAATAATCCCGTTCCTCACAATTATCTACTTTTGCCTCCGGTAGCCTCACTCGCTCAGTGAAATAAAAATAAATTATAATAATATAGGTACGTGTTCAGCATAATAAAATGTGCACAAAATCTGTGGGCCTTAGTTGGCAACACTTTAGAGTTTGTTCTCATTCGTTTCCATAATACTGTATGTCGCTCTCTAATACGGCTGCCACTTTGCTATGTGTTTGCTAGTTACAATAAAACATAAGTTTAACTATAACCGTTTGTTATTTGCCCTAAAGTCCTAACCTTAAGCCGGAGCCGCGAGGAAAAGCAGGTATATTATAATGATAATGAATAACTAAATAAATCTTGAAAAAAATACGAGTTATGACGTCACAGCTCACAGTTCTATATGTATTCAATCTGTATAACATTGTGTATAAAGTGCTTGAAAGTACATATGCGTAAATACATTACAGGGGTACTAAATAGTTATATACTTTAGAGAGAAAGCGGGGAGCTTATTATAATTAAAGATGCGTTACAAATGTCACAGTTCTATTCTAACTTGATAGCTTTATATATATAATTAGCTTTTAAATAGTTTCACCGACTTAAGAATTTTTACATCATGTTGAAGTTTCATAAAAACTATTTCATACCTTAATTTTTCACTATTAGTAGTGATATTTTTAATTAAAATTCGAATGAAACCTCTCTTCCATATAAAAAATAAAGGGTCATGATAGACAAACGGACAACAAAGTGATCCTATAAGGGTTCCGTTTTTTCCTTTTGAGGTACTGAACCATAAAAATACAGATCTGTATATAAGTTACGGAGTTTTGAGGTAACAAAAATAAAATAAATACAACTGAATCGAGAATTACCCTTTTATTGAAGTCAGTTAAACACATTATGTTAACACTTATGAGTGAAAAAGAACAATTTTAACGAAGCTATCAAGTTAAATGATCAGCAAACTGTGTGGACATGGTAATACACCGATAAAAAGCGGGTACAGAGCTATAAGAATCCACACCATAACATTAATCACATCCTCAAATAATTTAGTTACAATCGACAATTCTCACACCTGTACTTAATAAAGCAAACATATTTTTTCTAACTCTTGACTAATAGATAAAAGATTTGTTTAGATTTCAATATGATTTATTGCCATGTACTTAGAGTAATATACAGATAATGATTAGGAATACTACATACTATCAGTAAATGATTTAGAATATAAGAAAAAAAATTGATAGCGAAAGTTTGGATAGATTTTTGTTACTTAATCACATCAGATCAGCTAAACGGATCTGTTATGTGACGTAAAGACAGATTCAAAGCTACTTTAAATAGAAATATCTATACAAATAAATGAAATAAGTGTCTGTTTGTAATGTCAAAATAATAGGTTTTTTTTATATGTTCACACGGACATTTGCAAGATTGCCTAAAAACCAGTTTAATTTTTTTTGTCTGTCTGTCTGTTTGTTAATCTTCTAAACGGCTCAACTAATTTTGATAATATTTTAATACCCAGTAGCTGTCTTTATAAGGAGTTATTTAGAATATTCTTGCTCTCAGAAAACCCTTTTAAAATTTTGCCCGGTCCGGGTATAAACCCACGCGAAAGAAGTCGCGGGTACCAGCTAGTATTCAATTAAATAAGTCATTTTTTTCAATTCATACTCACTCACTTCAATAACAATGAATCAACTAACAGAAAGAAACTTAAACTAAAAAGTCAATAATCGCATTTCTATCTATGGTTCTGATAATTCGGTCGAACATACACGAAACACGTACTTTTGGTATGGGATTCCTTTGATACAATGTAAGGATTTTGTGTCATATTTTTATTACTAAAATGAATTACTTAGATGCCAACCCAGAAAGGGGGTCTTCACAACTTTATAATAATAGATAATAATACAACAAAATAAACTTTGTAATGTTGATTTTTGAAAATTTGAATAATATCGAAATCTTTTATCTTTTAATCAAGAAGCGAGTAACAAACCCTTCCTATCCTCAATTCCCATTACATAACACCATCTCTTTCTCATGCACTCACCTTCCAGATGAACTCTCCACTAGATGAGTTGCTGGTATGCGAGTCGGTGTCGCTGTCCCATTCCTTGATGATGTCAGCTGCCGCCATTCTCGCACACTCACCCGATGTGGGTTCGGTGGGAGAATCTTGTGTGAACGATGTACTCATTATTTCTGTAGCTGGACCTATACATTATAATGGAATAGCTTCAATTATTTAATAATTTATAAAAACAACTGGAATTTAAATAACTCTTTCAATCAGTTCACCTATCTCTTTAAAAAGCTGACTTAAAAGCGTAGCATTAAGAGACATCACTCAAAAGTTGTATGTATATATTCATAATAAATTTAAAAGTAGAAAATTTGAAATATGAAGTGATTGTAGAAATTTTTAGTTTCATTAGAACATTATTTCGTATTCCTATTTTTCTTAGATCTATTTAAGTTTGTATATATATATATATATATATATCTGTTATATTAAATGTACTATCAAACTAACCAAAACGCAAACAGTATTTGATTGCAAAATTATGAGTAAAATACAGAAAACTAATGTACAACACAGTCTCAAAAGTTGTTCAATATCAGAATATTAAAATATAACTACAATATAATATTAACATAACACATAACAAAAATGATATTAACATACAACAAAAAACTCACCAGAGAACCTAATGTCAGTTAACAAAGGCAAGTACCCATCAAGCTGACAGTACTTTTTTTCGTTCTGCAGAAAGTTTTCCGTCACCATCGCCATCTTGCCATTCTCCTCAGAGTCACCATTCATCACACCAATCTCGTGTAATTCATCTTTTATACTTTTACACTCCTTTGGACTCTCTGGTACTTCTAGCGGACCGTCTGACTTCACGCTTTCAGTTGTCTCTTCATTTTCTTTAGTTTCACCATCATCAACATTACTTTCGATCAACTCCTCAAATGTCTCGTTAAGAAAGTTCACGGTAGCGAATTTCTCACTGCCACCATTACACTTCTGCACGTTTGAATTCTTGAAGATGTCGATTGGCAAAGACATGTGCGATGTTTCTTGTACCTCCGGTGACAATGTACCTACATTTTCCAGTTTCGGAGAAACTTCGGTGCTTATCACGTTTTCTTTCTCAATTTTGGACATTTCTTTATTGATTTTCTCCTCCAGGAATTTCTCTAAATTTTCATGGGGTTGAAAATTACTTGAATGAGCGTTATAAGCATGATTTAATTCTACTATTCTGGCATCTGTCTCATAAGTTCTATTAGGACACTCTTTAAAAGCTTCCATTGTAGTTTCAGTAATGATGATCGAATGAGGCTGTTCCGTTTCATCGTCAGCGTCAAAATTTAATAAAAAATTGGGTTCTCTAAAATTAACTAAGCTGTGAGATTCATTTAAATTCGTAACGTTAGGCGGACTCTGTTGAGATTCCTCGTACGTGTCCTGACTAGTCTGGCCGTGGTCCGTAGAGATGGAAGCCATGGCTAATTCACTCGATATTCTTTCGCTTTTCAAAAGTAAGGAGCTGGCGTCGATCAACGATGACAGATCCTGCGGTCGGTTCTTCACAGAGTTCTCGAACCTCTGAAATTCTTCGGAACTGATCCCGCTCTCATTGCTCTGACTAGATTTGCTTGCATTCACGTCCTGTGGTTTCGAGACCGCCGAGTTTTCAAAGTCTGAGTAAGTAGGCGTGCGTTCAGATACAACTAGACTGTCTCTATTACTGATCCTACTTAACGTCTGGCTTTCTCCTTCTAACAGTACCTCTGTCTCTTGGTTCACATCCTTGCTTGCGTTTGAAGACAGATCCTGCGGCCTGACCTCAGCAGACTGTAGGAAGGTTTGGAAGTTAGGCAGGCTTACACTATTTTCGGTTGCTTCTGTGTTAACTTCGGGCAGTTTCATCGGAATCGCTTCCACATCAGCATTTTCGATCAGGTCGTTTAGAGGCGTGCTTGTAACAGACGGTGCCATGTTTTTATAGTTATAGTTCGGACTCTCGACATGGACTAAAATACCTTGGGTTTCAGACGTATCCGATTTATGACTGTCTGTTAAATTATCTTGTAGACAAGATATTTCTACACTTTCCATTTTTTTTATGGAAGGCTCTGTGACAAGCTGAGGGCTTGTGACATCCCCTACTTTATCGTCTGAAATATTAGACGGTGTAACGCCCTCATCGTTAGTCATTGGCGATTTTCTAACCAACTCTGGTTGCTGCGTTTTCCAATCGTCTAATCCTGAAATTATTTCCGTGGTACAATTAGAGTAAGATGGCAGCCCTGACAGCAAGGTACCATAAGCAAGGTCTTTAGTCTGCGAATTTTTTGTAGAATCGTTGATCTCGGTTGTTAACACCGAAGGTGTGGTAGCAGCATTTTCAGTCTTCGCTTTCGTATATGTGTAGTTATCATTAGCTGTGATCGAGTCGGGCGAGAATGTTTCACAAGCTTCTGATTTACTATCGTGAATGATGTACGTGGAGCAATGACTTGCTTCCTTTTCGTCTTCGTTGTGGGTTAAAGTATCAGTGCTCTCACTGTTACCTTCATCTTTTTCGGGTTCGAAATCTGGCACATCTGGATCCATGGCCAGGTCATCAAAATTTTCTTCAACGTTATAGAGGGTATCGTTTGAACACCAAGAGTCGATGCTGGTGGCTTTCGAAAGACACTGCGTTTCGGACGGTTTTGACAGCATCGCGTCTGTTGGAAGGGTGGTTTTCGATAATGTCGACAGCCCTGTACCATTTTCGAAGTTGTCAGAATTATAGGGTGCAGAGGTGTCGGTTGTGGGGCTTACAAGAAAGGGCGATACTTGAGATATCCTCTCGAGAGATTCTTTATCTTCTTCTTTTGTGTAAGTCTTATTGTCGATTGGTGATTCGACGTCGGTTGTGTCGGGTATCGGTTTTCTGTATGGACTGGCGTTCAAGCTGTCTGCACTCATTGTTATTCTGGGAAAACCAAGAAAACTGTAAGAAATTGCAAGAATCTGTAAAATCTGTATTTATTTCTTGTTGCACACTTAATTGGCATGATTTCTTAGTAGTTGCTCGTAATTATTTAATAATTAAGGATACGCCAGGTTTTTATAATTAATCCGTTGATTTATTTTAGTATTTGTGTTGAAATTAATTTGATATTAAAATTGACATCAACATTAAAAATTCGAAAGTAACATGGAATCGATAACTATATCTAGGCTTACTTATTTTTACCTTTAAGTGTGGACTAAATCGGTGAAAGATTACAAAAGGCAAATCGTCATGTAAGCTCTACTAAGAATGACAGCGACGGTCTAGTGATATAGGTAGTCCTTATAAAGATAAACCGACGGAGCAGATCTTTTGAATTTATGGTATACTCACTCTCGGCTGCTGGCGAGGTCCCTGTGCAAGGTGTAGGTGTTGTTCTGCGAGTGGTCACGAGAGTGCAGCGTGTAGGTACCGACGTCGGGCCCAGCGCTGGGCGCGGCCGTGGGCAGCTCCGTGATCTCGTCCGTGCTGTTGTTGCACGGCTCTGGGTAGCTCTCCGACGAGTCTGTGCGGGCCGAGACGTTCCCTGTCACGCGCACGGTACTTATTAACATTTTCAAGGAAGGAAGCCAAAGAAAAAGGAAGAAATCTTTATTTTTTTTCATGTTCTTGTACTTCCTCTGTCACGTACAGATAGACCAGTATAGCCCGATTACATTACAATAACCTGGTGGATGTTAGCCATCTAGCTGTATTGCAGTATATTACTGCATTCATGCATGTGAGTAAACTGCTACAGTAAACTGCTACTTGGCATAAGAGATAGATGTGGTCACAATCGAGCTCTGGTCTTGCATACATTTACAAACACTTTCCATTAAGGAAGCCATGAGTTTCTTTTAACTTCATAAATTGGAACTAAACGGCAACTTCCAGCAATACAGACAATTTAAAGAGACTACGTACATTGCAAATCGTTTTCGTAGGCGGATAGTTGCTGTCCGGTCTCTTCAGCGATAGGGCTGAGCGCGCCCGGGTAGCTCACCACTAGTTCCGGAGGCGGCGGTAACTCCGCCGACCATTCGGTTTCGTTTTCGCATGGCGGTTCTATAGCTGCTACCTAAAATTAACAAAACCATGTATTAACCATAATACTAGTTGTATCGTTTACTTTTTTACTTATCGTTTACTCGTTACTACAGTAATATTATCAAACTGTACAAATTAGAAGAAATTTTATTTAAATTATTATAAATGGTACATGGGAACAACTTTCTATTCCATATTGGAATTCAATTCTGTTTTATAAGCAGATTTGCTCTAAATCATCATAGTTATTCCTACCCGAAAAATAAGTAAGGTAAGGGACGGCACTAAAACTTCAGTAAACTTAAATAAGCCTGGGTCTCATACCTACAGCAATTTAAAAATTTACTAAAATAGGTATATTAACTGGCTAACACTGATTATCAATCTAAGACTAAAATTAAAGGTTACTTTTGAGCTCGCGAAAACTCGATATTTAAAAAAACATAGCCTTTTGCTTCTTGCCCGATTTATATGTAGAACAGGAAAACGGTTCTCACGAGGCTTTTATCATTTGAATATTACCAATATTTTATTGCACAAATAAGTTTGTACGATTCACCTTGTAATAAATTAACAAACTCCACTCACCTGTGCTAATGGCAATTTTAGTTCAAGTTCATTTCTCAGCGCCTTCACACATTCCTCATCTAAAGTCAAATCTTCTCTTAGGTCCTCCATTGAACCTCCATTCCCAGCTAAATAGGATTCTGGCAAATCATCACTTTCTCTTAGCAACATGCCTTCATCAGAAACTAGTCCTTCAACTGTTAAAGGACCAGAGTATTCGATGTTCATGTTGTTCTCATTCTCTGCCATCGCTAACTTGGAAGTGATCTGTAACTCTATTTGGTTCAATTCTATCTCATTTTGTAAAGAGATATTTGCCGGTGGCAAAGCCGGCTCTGGTGTTAGATCAATATCTACAAGATATTTCTGTTGAGATGTTGAAGCTAAAAATACACCAGGTGAATTGGGTGGTGTTGAGGGAGAGACTCGCTTTTCGGTGCCAGAGTTTCCACTATCACTCTCCGTCAGATCAGAAGGAGGTTTTTCACTTAGACTCTGAATGTCATCGAACTGTATATCATCGTGGACAATATCTGGAACTTCATTGAGGAAGTTTCCGTCGCGTAACGGCGAAGGCGTTTCGAGATTTATATCACTGAAATTTGACGAGAAGGCCAATATTTCTTCTTTAGGAAAATCTCCAAGTTCTGAAGATTTCACACATTTAAATAGTTCTAATGTACAATTTTCAAATGGGCCTAAAACAACCGAACTGTTTTCGTCATAAGTATCAGTAGGGTGGCTTTTTGTCGGAGATTCAAAAGGACTTAAGCTGTCAGGAATATATTTCTGTTCTAACTTAGTGAGAGTAACCCCTGGACCAAAGTCAGGTACTTTCGTGTCGAATAATAGCTGTGTTGCACTATTTTCTTTGGTTGAATTTTCAAGAGTGTTATTCGCATTAGCAGAGTTATCACTAGCCAATGGAGTACTTGACGTAACTTGTGAAATATTACTGGTGAAAGCTCTTTCCATTTGCAAGAATGTATCTACTTCCTTGATCGCGAAGCTGGGCAGATCTAGGTACTCCGTAGATTCGTTCTTGCCGAGAGCGCATAACGTTTCGGTATTAGAATTACCATGGTATGAGTTAATGATGTCATGAACAGTATTATCTACATTGTTATTGGGTAATTGTTCCTTATTCGTACTGTTACTAAAATCCATATATGCAGTACTCTCGTCTGTTATTTCTTTAATACTGACTTCTTCAGATCTAGGAGTATCTTTAACAGCATTGTATTCTTTCTCTTCAGAATGACCGGCATTACGTACAGTTACATCTTTTGGAAGAGTAATGTCAGCAACTTCAGTTAACAAAGTATGTCTCACTAGGGGCTGTTCATTGGGCGAGTGCACATCAAGCAAAACATTATGTATTGGTTCATTTTTATGGCAATTATCTAGGGACTCATCAAAATTAACAGACGGCTCCAATATTTTATCTTCTGTATTAGGATCTTTGCCAAGATCTGACATTGGTTGATTGAGATTAGAAAAGGAGCTTCTTTCTAAACTGATTTCATTTTCTTCTTTAAAAGGTATATTATTCTCTATATTTGTATTATTAGACTGTGTAATTAAAAGGTTTATATTATTTTGGCTCACAATGGACGATTCATCAACTTTAATCTTAGTTTCTGAATCTAAATCAACAGACAATTCCTTATATTCTTCTACATCAGTAAGACCTTTCTTTGTTGTATTTATATCTATTACTTCTGTAAGAACATTGTTACTAATTTCAGAGATTGTTTCTGTAATTTCTGAGGGATTCAATTCAGGTTTATCAGAAGTGTTTAAACATTTTGTACTTTGTTTCATTTCATTAACGGTTGGAGTGGCTATTTCATTTTGTTCTACAGAAAATATTACGTCAGTAACTAATTCTGTGCCTTTGTCAGAACTTGGAATTTCGTTACTTTCTTCTACTAAAACACCTTTACTGAAATGTTGTAAAGCGTTTGCAATAGCTAGATTTTCCGAAAAATGTTGACTTGTGGCTGCTACATGCTCATTTTTTTGCACTCCCGGAATAGAAGTTTCTAAACATTCTCCTTCAATGATAGATTCAAGATCATCGTCATATGAATGGAAAAAGTGTTTCTCAGGAATGTCTCTAGCATCAGCAAGCCACGCTTGTTCTCTTTCAGAATGGAGAAAATCAGAAAGAACCTGAACAGTTTGTGGGAAACTACCACAGTTAATCCATTTCGTGTATTCATTCACCTCGGACAGAGTTTTTTCTTCAGAATCATTACCAGTTAGAACTAAATTAGTATGTTCTTCACAAACATTACTATCATCTGACGCATCGTTATTATCATCATTGTTTTCTATTTCATTAATAACAGCTTCGTTAAGAAAGCTGTTATCTGACATGTTTTTAACTAATATTTCTTTTTCTAATTGATTTTCGTCCTTAAATATATTTTGTACTATTTCAGGTGGCAAGGGCTTAGATTTTTCTTCCTCTAATAACAACGGCATATCAGTCTCATTTATAGTCAGGTTAATATGTCCATCTTTTTTATTTTGTACTGATTCAGTAAGATTTTCTTCTTTCGTGCATTTCGCTATTTCTAGACGATCATCTACCGGGCTACTTAATTCAGATTTTTCGTTTATGAGATCACTAACTAAGATTTCTTTTATACTAACATCATTTGTTAAAGTTTCGCCAACTATCGATGTAACATTTTCATTTAACTCTTTAACATCGTTTGCGGTTTCTTTCATTGGTAGAGGCAAGACTATACTTTCAGCTTCTTCTGTATTCAGATCAAATTTATTTACCTTATTTTCTACTTCTTCAGGTGTAACAATCACTTTGCCTATATCATCTATTGACTTAGTTTCCCTCTTTAAATCAGTACTTTTTAGATTATTATCACAAGATGATTGACAGTCTTTTCTAACACATTTTTCATCACTATCACTAGGTATTGACAATACACATAATTCCTTCAGCTTGGGAATTTCACTTAAACTACTCACTATTTCATTTGGCAATTCAGTATCTTGAACATTATCAACTATATTATTCTTAAGATGATTCACTTCAACTGTTATCTCGACGTTTTTCACGATATCTACATCTTTGATTGGCGTATCAGGAGTAAGGTTTTCTAGTGTGTGTTGACTGGTTGTATCAATTTCACTGTGACGTTCAAACGAATGACTCAATGTACCTATAGTATCTCGGTCGATATCGTCGTCTTCACAAGTCGCATCTTCCTCTTGAGTGCTGAAACCTGTGTCTAAAATGTTCTGGAAATTCGTAATACCAGGGGATTTTACCATATTGGATTGTACTGGATATTCCTTCTTGCAATCCAGACTTAAATTGTCCCTGGATGGGCTTGCCTGATGACTGGATTCTGAACTAGAGGTTTTCTCCGAGTTTAGTATATTATCGAGATTCTTTATCACATCACTTACATCCTTATAATAACTGACATCATCCTGACTTCCAGCTATGATTTCCTTTAACCAAGGATCCATAGACGCATCTGAACGATCCTGTTCCCTCTCTCTACTCTCCTCGAAACAAATATTTCCCTGGTGGCATTCAAGGGCAGCTGTCTCATTGTGCGTTAAGTAGATATTCCTGACGTCTTCCAGGGATCCGTGTAGATTAGTTAAGCTCTCTGACTTTATCTGTATAGATAATGGATCCTTATCTGACATCATGCTACTGGATCGCGAGACGGCCGTATCCATATCAATACTCAGTGAATCCTGTATGGTCTGTACATTATCGTCTGAACCGGTGAAGTGGTCAGTCATAGATGTCGAAGGGGCATGCACTATTGCTCGGTGCTCATCTCGCGTGGGAATCGAGTTAGGCTTGAGTCGTTGCCAGCGCTGTTCGAAGTCTGCGGAATGTCGTAACGTAGCGTCGGGAGCATGTTCACGATGCGTTGAGTACAAGTGGTTGATCAGGGCGTGCACTTGGCTTGACGTCGGACGGGCTTCAGGTGAGGGGTTCCAGCACAGTTGCATTACTTGGTATCTAGAGTAAATAAAAAAGAAGGCCTATAATTAACGGGTATATTGTGGGAGTTTGTGACTGTGTAATTACCTTTTAGGAATATTGACATAAACGACTTCTGTTTAAAATATACGATATTTATTATGATGGTACAACTATTGAATTGAATTGAATTGTTGCTCTAACTAGTCTGTCTGTGACTGTCTACTCGCTGTCAATACTGCACGGATGGCGTAGTGGTGTGGTTTAAGCGGTCGCCACGCCGCTTCCTAATACGCCGAAAGTTGTGGCTTCAAACCCCACATGGGACGACACTTTGTGTGATCCACAAATTGTTATTCTGTCTGGGTGATCTTTGTGTCAGTTTCGTGTATGCTTGTAAAGTCTCCCACGACACAGGCGGGAGTTGTCTTTTTAAATAAATTTTAAAAAATATTATATCACGAATGAAATCACAAGTAACCCAAAGCTCGGCTAGCAGAGCATATATGACAAAATACTTTTACGTTATTGTGCATTGTATGTTGTATTTTATATTGTATTGTATGATATAGTGATGATATAATGTGCAGTTGTATACAAAGTATATCTTTTATTTTAAAATTGACCAAAGAGAAATTGTACTCACAAATGATTTCTATAAGGACATGGGAGGTCAGGTAATGGCGGTGGTTGTTGAGTAGGCGTCGCTCCCCAAGCACACACCTCCCACACCAGCATACCCAAGGACCAAATGTCACTGCTGGCCTGAAAGTTTTTAAATATGAATATGATAGAAATATAACAGATAATGTGACCATTAACGAGGTAATTCTCACAACGAATAGAAACATGCAGATATTTTTGTTACCGCGTACGTATTTCGGTGACAACGTGTCCAAAAGATTTTTTTTATTATTTTTTAAATAATATTGACACAAGTAAAATTTTAACAAAAAAAACCGACTTCAATGGTTTTCTCATGGAATACATGGTCAGAACTAGACCAAATTGAAATGGGACCACACGGGAAGCACCAGCTTTCCAATAAAAAAAGAATCATCAAAATCGGTTTACCCAGTCGAAAGTTATGAGGTAACAAACATAAAAAAAAAATACAGTCGAATTGAGAACCTCCTCCTTTTTTGAAGTCGGTTAAAAACATCTCAAAGTATTATAAAATCAAATTTACTAAGACTTATACACTGCGTTTCAGATTTGAAACCTAACTATATTGAAGCTCCGAGAGCACGCAGATCACAAAATGTACAAAGTATTTTCCAATAAATTTTACACGACATTTGGTAAACAAGATACGAAACGCTACTTTATAATGAATTGTGTAAATATATTTACTATAATTCATAAATGGCATTTAAGATTTAATAATAACGATGAATTGATTTTATTGATGATGAGAGCATCAACAGCCTTTAATAGTCCACTGCTGGACATCAGCCTCTCCTTGGAAAGAAGGTTTTAGCCTACTATATAACTTACTGTCGTTATGTCTTGTATAGTGTAAAATCTGACCCTTTAACGTCGCTACTTACTTGTATCTTCATATGGACATAAATAATGATTAATCTATAAAAAAAGTGTCACCGACTTCATTCCGCCCACATCAGGACGAATAATATTAAGCTGTACTGTTTATTCCATAATTTTCCCCTGCGGTTAATTTAAATAAATTTTTGCGGGTAGTATTTTTTTCAAAGGGAGAATTTTCAAATCGGTTAAGTTTTGAGGTTTTTTTTTAATTGGAAGAGGAGGGCAAACGATCAGACGAGTCACTTGATGGAAAGTGACTACCGCCGCATATAAACGCCTGCAACTCAGGTGTCGGGTGGACATTAGTAATTTAGGTATGTAATATAGGTTTGTACGCACGGTGAAGAGAGGCGTCTCCGGCGCGGCGTGGTGCGGGGGCGGCGGCGCGTCGCCGTAGCGGCCGAGCACGCCGCGCGCGCTCTCCGCCGCGCCGCGCGTCTGCACCGCGCCCGCCCACACGCTCCTGCACAACACACATGTCGAATTACTTAACAATTTAAAAAAATACTAGAGACAATCTAGCGGTCCAATTTCGACCGTTTTGAATATATTGTTTTAGTAAAGTTATGCACGGACCAGTATAACTCGAACTATTTTTATATAAGCCATGATAACTCAAAATATACACTGGGCCAGTATTACAGAGAATACATAAAGGGATTGGATGCAAGAGATTTTCGATGAAAAAAGTAATGAAATCCATAATACTAACCCGTACAAGTAACCTCGTGAGTGTAAGTGCGCAAGCGCTGAGCTGATGTCACACATCAGCCGTAGAGGCACGCCACTTTCGTTCAATATCGCCATCTTAGGTCTATTTACAGCCAAGTACTGCTGGAGATCCTGTAAAATGAGATGGGTGTTGTACAACATTTTTATCTGTACCTACACTTCGAGGTGACAACTTCTAAAATATTATGTGACTAATAATAATTTGACATTATCATCAATATGATATGTGAAATCATAATAAACACATAGCATACTAAGTTAATTCAGAGTATAAAAGGCGTATTAATCAAATTAATGAATTTTCTTTAACGTAAAACAAAAGCAAATAAATTTATCTGTAAGATACCGAATAAGCAAGTGGTTAAAATATTTTAGTCAAGAGAGTACAATTTTCATCATTCATCTACAATCAAACGCCGCAATATTCACTGTTTCGTATTGCAATATACAACATTATATTTTAAAACTATATCATATCCTACACTATATAAATCCTTGTCCGTGTGATGACGGATTAAGAGTATAGTGTCAACACCCCTATTCATCCAATGGGTGTCGTAAGAGCCCAGTAAAGGAGCCAAACTCTATAGGACAGCATTACTGCAAAGAGTAGGAAATATTGAAACAAACCCTAAACCAGCGTGTCTAGCCAGCGTGGTGTAGTAGGCCAAAACCTCCTTTCTAAGGAGAGGCCATGTTCACCACCACCTCCTCTAACAATATATTGTCTTTTCTTCTTCAAAACAATTACATTCACCAGAAGGTTGGACTTAAGGCAGTTGTCTTTTTTATGGTATAAGAGAGCAAACGAACAGGTCGGTCACCTGACGGTAAGTAACTACCGCCGCCCACCTAGACACCTGTAACTCAAGAGTCACAAGTGTGTTGACGCCCTTTGAGTCCCTCCCCCTAGAAGCAAGAGAAGAGGGGGTTTAGACTCTAGTAACCCGCTGGTATTAAAAGAAAACAGCTAAATCTCTATGCAATATTATACAATGCGCCAACTCCAAATGAAATTCTGAGAAGGACAGCCTGGGAACCCATATTGAACAATTATGTAAAAAAGTTAGTAGGTCTGTCTATGCACTACACGAACTTGTTTAAATAGTTGGCACTAATACTCTTATGACCGCGTATCATGGTATGGTATCCTCAGTACTTAGGTATTGTATAATTGTTTGCGGAAATTCTACCGATATTGACATCATATTTAGGATGTATATGGATGGATATGTATCACAAATAAATGATTTCATTTGATTTGATTTAGGATCCAGAAACCGTGTATACACGTACGAGCGATGTTTGGCATGAAACCTGTCGAGAGTTGTGTACCTTTCTCCAAAGAATACAATATATTGACGCTGCCGTCGCTCTATGTATACGAGGTAGCTGTGTTTGTAAAACTGAACCCTAATCTGTTTGAAAAAGTATGTTTCACGAAAGCCAATACTGCTCTGATGCATAAAGGCAATAAATTGCCTAGCAACTTAAAAGCACAAGATATAAGTACATTTAAGTCTCAATTAAAAAATCTCCTCATTAAAAAATGTTGTTATATTGTATTAGACTTTATCTCTGACAATTTGTAGTATATGTTGTTTATTCTTTATACATAATTCTTGTTTATTCTTTCTGACATTAAGTAAGTAGTTTGACTATGAATATTTGACATTGTATAATATTTCTTTAGTAATCAATGATGCTAATAATATAGTAGTTATTATGTTTAAATTATATGCATGTATAATTTGATAATTTGCACACCCATAGCGGTAAAGCACAGTGAACCTGTTTGTGAATTGAATACCATGTAATTATTATATGTGTTATGCAAATAAACAATCTGAAAATATATCTGTCAAGAAGATGATGATGATAGAGCTACTTTGGAAAATCTTACCATAGTACAGAGCTCAAACAGTAATATCCAAGGTTCTTCCTGCAGACATTTTGCAATAAATGTGAGTACGTTCTCGTGTCGTAAGTCCCTGAACATTTTGGCCTCGTTCAGGAACCGTGCCTTGTCCTCAAGCGTTGCATTCTGGTTGAGGATTTTCACTGCTACCGAAGTTGTTTCACCGGCATCTTCGATTTCGCCTTCGACAACCTGAAGAACAATTGTAGTATATATTTCAAGAAAAAATTACAAGTAATTAAATTAATTTTAAAAAGTCTGCGAATTTAATGCGCCTTCATCATGATGAAATGTAATAAACTTTATTCCTTAATTTTCATCCTTACGGGTAGTTTTTTGGTTTGAAATTTGGATGAAACCAAACCTGAAGTGCACCCTCTAAAATAAAAATGCACAAGAACAATTGCCGCAGTTTAAATGCACGTTAATGGCAATTTATTTACATCATCGATTTAATTTACGTACTTATTAATGGTTTATCAATTCAGTAATCGATTCTCGTTAATCCATGTTATGTACATAAAGTTGTTTGTAATTCTTAGAAGTTGAATGGCATGCTGCCGTAGCGTTATATTCTGAGGCAATATTCACTAGATTGAATATACAATGTGATTCATTAAGTGTTGCTAAGATAGGCAATTATTAAAAACCTAATTTTTTTTAAGTATCGTGTTCGTATATCTGTAGAAAAATGAATAGTTTATTTGTAGCCGAAAAATAGCATTAGAGTAATGATTCGACGAAACGAGACATAATCATTTTTTGTTCTCTAAGTTATGACGCTTATGGAGGACGGAAGTCGTTTTGCGACCTCCGGCATCTGAGCCGCCTGGCGGGCCGGGAGAGTTCTTAACCTCTCGCGGTCCCGCTCCGCCATCTCCTTCGCAAGCATAACTTGCTCACAAAACACGCACTCTCACTCCGCAATATGGCCGCAATCATGTTACCGAGCGAGAGAAATCCCACCCCGATGGCCGCCACGAGGTCATGCCTCTGCTCCACCTACGCCGGGCATTCTGCCAGCACCGTGCACCGTGTCCACGGTCCGGCCATCACAGTGGTGGCACTCACGCGTTGGCTCCTTGTGGATTAGACACAGGTGATCTCCGAAGCATCCTTTCCCAGTGATCACCTGCGTCAACCGGTATGAGAGGGTCCCGTGATGCCTCTCGAGCAAATCCATGGCCAATTGGGCCAGCCGTTCTCAATTTTAGCGAGTTTTCTGGAATTTATATATTTAACTATGGAAAATTCGTTATGTTAATTTAGATACACTTCTTGTTTGGTCCCATTTAAATTTGAAGAGAAAAATGCTCTCTTAAGTGTCAAAGCAATGTAAAATAAAGTTTATTACAGTTTATAGTGATGTAAGCGCGTCGAAGGCGGTGATAATCTTCCAAAAGTTAATTATTATTATTTACAATAAATAATATACATAGAAGAAGAATGCAGTGACGGATGCCTATTTTTATTATATGTTAGTACAAAAATTACATACCCTTCCAAACCACCCTCTGCCAATTTCTCGTAGGTACTGCAATCGATCACGTGGGAAATCATCATCACCTGTAATCAAACGTTATATCATTAAAAAAACACAAGTAGATAATTGCATTACAAATGCGGGTCGATGAAAACATACTGGTAACTATGAATGTGCGGGCTCGACGCATGAATGCGTAGAGGAATGTAAAACTAGGCTGTACAGCGGGAGCACGTGAGCCTTATCTTTGTGATTTAATATGAAAGTTGTAGCTTTCTTTGTATATGCATACAATTTACATATATATCTATCTACCATCTGCCTTCTTCCAGCCTGCAAAGCGATACTAATGATGGGCCAGAAACACACTGCGGCTTGGTAATCTAATATATAAAATTCTCGTGTCACGGTGTTAGAAGTTGAACTCCTCCGAAACGGCTCGACCGATTTTCGTGAAATTTTGTGTGCATATCGGGTAGGTCTGAGAATCGGCCAACATCTATTTTTTATAGACCAATTTTTTTTTTGTCAAAAAAATAATTAAATAATGTATATGGCAAAACAACGTTTGCGGGGTTAGCTAGTAATCATATGTAAGACGGTCGTGTATGAAGTGTTGTGAATTCATTCAAATCCTGAATCTTAATTCGATTATTAATATTAAAACTCGGCATTAGTATTCACGATTGATTCAAAAAACCCCTAATAACGTTTGCTAGAATCTTAGACGGCTACAAATGAACAAGGGTGTCTTTGGTCATGTATAACATAATTATAACCTATCGATGTATTACGAAATTAATGTAGTCAGATCATTCAGTGTCTTCAAGGCCAAATATAAAGGTCAAGACCAACTTATTCACTTTAAGATAGAAGAACGTATCTTTCAGTGTACATATCCTTCCGTATTTTACACGTGTTAATCTTTTATTTCTAAAGTTAACTACAACTACGCGTTTAATTTTGAGCCGTGTAACTCCTTGACACCTCGTTATCTTCTAATAACAACTTGTGTAATTTTAGCCTTGAAGTGGTCACATGTCAGAATTCAGATATCAAGGTTACAATGACCTTTGGCAATACACACATAAACAATGATAGAAGGATTAGGGATGATTTAACCAGCGTTTATAACGTTTATACCGAATACTAAAAGCAATTTCGATAATCAGTTTTCGTCCGCGTAAATTTCGAAGTATCGATTCTGCGGGTTAGCCGTAAAAGCGTAACAGACCGACAGTTCCTTTCTCATTAATAATATTAGAGATTAAATCATTGAGCAATGTGATGTACACTCTCAACATCCAATAAACGTCCTCGTCGCTAAGGAAGCGTCAATTAAAAAGTTATAGCTTCCATTACACGGTCCATTATTGATTCATAGACTGTATATAGAGTATATCTAGCAAGTAAGTGTATCGGCTAGACTTAGTGGTGTGTACCTACCTATATGCGTCTGGTCTGCTTAAACATAAACTTCTAATCTAATTTACATTAAAAAAAAAGGTATTTCTATCTATTCTAATGTTGTATTCTTCATATTAACTTTTATATACATTTTAGTTTTAAATATGACTTTAATTAAAATTAAATGAGGTTTAATATTAGACTCCTTAATGATTAAACAACCGCACGTGCCTGCCGGTTAGATCGTTATCCGTATGTTTCTATACTTAGTTAAGCAGTGATAGTCATCGGTCATGGGAACTTCGCAATGGACGAATGAATACAATAGTACCTATTTCTCACTGACAAACACTTAACTACACATTATGCTGCAATCAAAAAAATATCTAATTTCAAGGTTCTAAGATGATATCTAAATTTAGATAAATATTTATTATGCTGATAGATTTGTTGAGATTACTCGATCTCCTTAATTTCGGCATTTTAATATTTCAATACAGCAAAAGCACAGTTGACAGTTTTGTCATTTTATAAAGACATTAAGTAACTGTTTTATCACAGGGGGGAAGTGGCAGCCGCTTTGGGCAAAAATTGAATAAACGATAAACAGAGATATGTTATAATTACGTATACCTCGCCTTTGATATAAAGCTTTTAAACGGAAAAATAAATTAGGCAGTGAATAATAAGAATGCCTGTCACAATTTTTGTTTATATATTAATCTAGCGATGTTACTAAGGTAGAAATGATTTTGACGCTATGATGGCTCAGCTATTCCACTCAGTTACATTCACACATATTGACATTTAGGCAGATTAATAATTAACTTATATTGAATTTGAAATCTTGCAATGACCCCTAAATGGTTTCGTAATAAGAATTAGTATAGTTCACTTATCTATCTTTATTAAGGATTATTACGATTAGATTACGACTACGATTCCCTTTAGGACGATAGGATTACGATTTCCTTTGCACGATCGAGTCTGAATGTTACTGATCACCAATAATTCAATTATAATAATATAACAGTTTATTATAGACCAAAACAAAAACATACACGTTTTTGGAAAACACACTTGTCATCAACAAAATTCAAATAAAATTATAGATTCTATTAACATCCAATAACTTATCATCATTGACAGTTTGCACCTATTTATTATCTACAAAACGTTTTTACCAATACTATTATAAATTCTCTTTAATATTGATATTCTAGAAATTAAGACATGTAATACTATTATTAATATTTTAGTAACTATCTCATTAAAAATGCCAATCAAACGAGTTACACAATAAAGTACTGTATCTACGCGTTATATTGTAATGAAGCAGTACTTACCGAACCAATCAACGCAATATTCTAAAGGATCAACCACCCGTATACCCGTCGGCAGAGGCTCGAATTCAACAACTGACTCTCTGCTAACTCTGTTCCTCTCCTCATTCTCGCTCACGATATAAGCTGCTGCATTGTTGTTTGCGATGTTTTGCATCTCGCGCAGTGAGATCGGCCCATTGTTGTTGTCCTCACTGACGTTGACGTTGGCGGGCTCCGAAAAACCCGAATCGGGCGGATGCCCTCGCCGACCATCGTGGAGATGTGTTGCGCTTGCAGTGAACAACTGTAAGTAAATTAAGGCTTTACAAAATCTTATCAATTACAAGTAAATAATCTAATCAAAATAAAAACTGTTGATCAATTTACTATGCACATGTCCAGATCATGCCTTTAAAGTGTTAATCGACTCGCACTGTTGTTTTAAAACACTCCATTGGTATACCATCCCATCACTGAATTTTGGATGTGGTTACCGTGGTTTTACAAGTAAACAATACATTGATTAACTTGTTCAAAATTAAAAATCTGAAGATATCAGTAGATCAGCAAGACATGTGATGTGGCAAATTTCTATAGGTTAAGGTAGAGCCACTTTTTATAAAGCGGGCGTATACTTTTTAGTAAAAAAATAATAGAAACACAAAGTAACAAAATAGTACTGAATATATTTAAAATCAAATAGGGAGTCGAGTCTGGACATGCAAAATACACAATTGATTTTTTTATTTGACGGTTTAGTATAAACATGTTAAAAAAATCTAATATAACAAAAACGCCATGCATAAAAAGGGGCACTTAATCTTCCACCACCAAAGAAACTAAACACAAACAAGTACAGCATCAAAGTACCTGATTGTCCGCTCCTTCGTTAGGCTGGCGACAAGAGAAAACAATGCATAAGACTCATTATATCATCATACCTAGTTATAATAGTTGACTGTGTACAAGGGACTAAATGCACATAACGTTGCGTATTACATAACCTCAGTCAAAACGACATGACGTCATCATACAATTCTATTGATTATGTCAGGGCTTCTCAATGGTACAATACCAACGTACCTCTATGTAATTACCTAGATGTATCCATTGTTTTTAACGTATATAAAATAGAGAGTAATGAAATATAAATGAGAAAATCACAATTTCAATTTGAAAAAATACACTGTCAAAAGTAACATTCCAACAACGACATAATATTCTTTGTTCTAATCTTAACAACAAAATCGTATGTCGCCCAAAAAATAGATACGTAATATTAATGCTATAACATACATTTTGTTACAATCTCTATTTAGTCCAGCATGGAATCAACCATTCGACTAATTCTATCGTCGTTAAATAATCAATATTACCAATATCTATCTGACTGATTGCAAGACAAACAAATAGTGCAAAATATCTCTACATTTAAATGGCCAACCTTTCAGGGTTTCCGTACCTAAGTAGCAGTACCTTTTAGCATTGTTTTGTCTAACATGGGTTTAAGTAAATCTGATATTGGACAGCTTTTTATCTATTTACAATGCATGCGAACCTCAGTATTATTAACACAGATATAAAATAATTAGTTTTCGTTATTCTGTACTAAGTAGTGCTTGTTTAATAATAATAATATTTCGGACATCTAATACACAACGCCATCTAGTTTCAAACTAAGCAGAGCTTGTACTATGAAAGCTAGATTGACTGATAGAATACTTATTTACTTTTTTGTAAATACATACTCCAAACTCTGATTTTTTTTTTGAAAATTTAGTTAAGGTACTTTTTTAATTATTTCAGGACGAGATAAAACGTATTTTGGAACAAAATTTTGTGTTATAAACATTCGATAAATGAATTATGTAGAAATTTCTTAAAATATACTTTTAAAGTACAGTTTCGATTGAAAGTTTAGCAAATTCACTAGTACCTATGCTCTTTTTGTGGAAAAATATAAGTACTTAGTAGAAAATAACACGAAATAATTTCTAATTTCCAATGCATTTGTTCTACTTATGAGCAGTAGTAAATTACGTTAATGTGTATATGCCATTTCTAACCACGCACGAAGAGGATAACAATTTCGCTTTTGCATACAAATTATTATTTATCCATATACATTATAATGCTGCGAGAAGGGCGGAAACGGCGTTAAGCTCTCTTTCGGTACAAAGGACTAGTCAGGGGGACTTGATCATACTGACTAGAATATGGGTTGTATTTTATTTATTTGTTTTACTGATTAACATGACAAAATACACAATATGATAATGATAACATGGCTAATTGGGACAGTATTTGTTTAAAAATGTATACTTAAACTTGTTTTGAAATACCATTATTACATGAAATAACGACAAATATATATTTGATAGAAACTTTTAATACGCGTTTACAGTCAGGAACTCTGAATTCTGAAACTTCTGTAAAAAAGAAGTTTGTTTACCTAAAAACATTTTTTGAAAAAAAGTAGTTGAGAAAGTAACCCACAGAGCAACTGAGGATCATCAGAGAGAAACAGTAACCCACCGAGCAACCAAGCCATCAGCAATATTATGCATGGAGGCCATGTCAACTACTTAGCAGTCTTTGCACAGTGTCGAGTTCTGGGCCATCTGGCACTGAAGTGAAATGTTAACAAATCTCAAAACGTGTATATCTTGTTACATCTCTTTCTTAGCAATATCCCGTTAGGTCCTTTTTAAGATGAAACGTGTTGTACGGAGGCTGCTATTTATATATCCGGAACTGGCCAGTTACAGAACAATATTAAAAAGTGATTATAACATTTAAAAATTGAACTCTTTGGCACATCTTTGTAATACAGTTTGTGTCATGTAGCTGTCATTTGTTTATCCCTGTGGCGTCATTTTGAAAAATGCTTGTCTTTATCGCTATGGATTTAACTCGTGAATATTATCGTGCTATGATTTATTACGATTTTCGGCGAGGACTAACTCAAAAACAGGGCATCGATCAACTCACTTCAACATTTGGGGACGAAGCGCCATCAAAAACAACGGTTTAGTGAGTTTAATCGCCCTAAATCGGATGTACCTCAAAATATTGATGAAGTGCGGGAACTAATGATGCAAGATAGTCATGTTACATATCGCGAGATAGAGGCGCTTCTGGGCATAAGTATGACGAGTATATATAAAATATTATCATCATCTCATCATCTCAGAATGGCTCTTAAAGCAATCATATAAAGAGACGGAGGACCTATTAATGATCTTACAGTGACACACTGCCGCATCCATTCCATATCAAACACTAACACATGCATTGTACATAAATCTTAAAGAAACTGGTGTGCGCACATATGTAAGTCTAGTGGATATGTCATATGACTGCTCCGATCCCAAGACCATGTCGTAGGGCTTGCCGACATAGCGCATATACTCCTTCACAACTCCAATCTCACTACAAACACAAACATACACAAACACACACACACCCTGTTTTTGTTAATGTTACAATTATTACTACTGCCGCTCGTTTCTTTTTCTTTTTTTTTCCTTAAATTTTGTACTCTTGCACAACTACCACCTCACAAAGGTATTTTGAAATGTCAAGACGAGGGCCGAGTGGGGACCTGGTGTCCTGTAACAGGCTTTTATACCTACCTCAGGCACCAGCTATCTACTACCGAAATTGTCAAATGTTATTGCGTAATCGTATTTTCATTGTATGCATTTTGGTTTTGGTGAGAAAATAAACGATATTACATTAAACATTTAGCTGTAAAGAATTTGTTCACGTTAGATTCCGCACAACTGGAGAATTGACCAAAAACTGGGTCGTGTCGATTGGTGTAAAAAAATGTTACAAAAGTACAATAAGCGTGCGTCAAAAGCTGTCTATAATATCTACTCAGGTGATGAATCTTAAACCTATGCGTATGATTCTGAAACTAAACAACCATTAACGGTTTGGGTGTTCCAAGATGAGCCGAACCTAAACAAAAGGCATTCGTTCAAAAGGCACTTAGAAGCAAATAGTCGCTTGTTTTTTTGTATAAATGAACATGTGGCTACAGTGCCACTAGAGGATCGTAAAATGGGTAATTCTGAATGGTACACGACCATTTGTTTGCCAGAAGTCTTTGAAGAAATAAGAAAGAATAACCGACAACGCAGAATCCTTCTTCATCATGACAATCCTGCTGTCATACATCGGCCCAAACAACTCAGTATTTGGAAGATCAAAAAATCGAATTAACGTGTCATCCGTCGTACGGTCCTGACTTAGCCCCCAACGAATTCTATTTATTCCCAACTGTGAAGACGTTTTTGAACCGTGAAAAGGCTGTTGATGTGTTCAAAATGCACGTTTTTGGCGATATCACAATCAGAATGGAAAAAGTACTAAGAAAAATGGTTCCAACATATGCAAAAGTGCATCAATTATTACGGCGAATATTTTGAAAAGCAATAAAACTATCATAAATGCTATATGTTTGTTTCACTTTTTATTCCGGATACATAAATAGCAGCCCTCATATTGTACTTTTCTTATCATATGTAGCAAGAATTCGTCAGTTAAAAACAGACAAATTTTGAACACAAACTACAGTACTAAGGAAACCGCCAAGAATTAAAATCACTAATAACGGTTGATAGAACATTGTTCGTTATTGATTTCATTTAGTAATCGGAGCAAATAAAGTGGAGATTTTTACTGAATCTAAATTCAACTCTGTTGACTGCCATTCTTAAACAGGAAAGAAAACGTAATTGTTGCTCTAAAATCTAGAAACCTACATTGCCGATGCACACTTTGAGGTAAATTCACACGGTTTACATACAACAGATTCTTTAACTTTCACTCCATAGATTGTATAGACGGACTACCTTTAAAACCTTTAAGATATGTAATTTCATATTTTCCCACTTATTTGCGTAGGTACAAATTTTCCCTACTTTTTTATTCTTTTATTTTGATACTATTACTGACGAGTTTGGAATTGTCTTCGAACATGTGCTAAGTATTCTTGCATAATATGTAACACCAACCAGTAGAAAATGGTTGTGATATACACATTCTATTCGTTCTAAAAATCCATAAGTTTGTTTATGTATAGAGGATATACGACAACAAAACGCTGCTCCGTAAAAAAAACACAACTCGTACATCTTGTACTGGAGATGTGTGAATATACTATTAAAATTATATACCCACAACATAAATGCACATTTACTAAGATCTAACGTTGTAACCGCCTAATAAAAAGCGCGGTAGCTATACTAAACAGAAGATCAATACTTCGGCACCGGTACCACTCAAGGTCGTGGTTGCTTCCGCTGGGACATTAAGATCAAAATCCAAACCAGCAATTACTTTAAGAACCACTCAGTCACTGATGGATGATATACGAGTAGTAGATG